AATAAGTTTGAAAATAAGACAAGACAATAATTAATGTCTCCTTCATTCCAATTCTCATGAAATCAAAGATATATAATGAAGATTACATGGGTTTTTTTACCCTAAGTAACAAAAACGTGGGGGAAAAAAACCCACATGTAATTTTTAGTCATATATGGGTTTAAAAACCCCACGAAAGATTATATGGGTTTATTTCCCCCATGGGGAAAATTTTAAACCCCATGGGGTTTTTGTGGGGTTTTTCATGGGGTAATTTTAAGTACATGTTTCCCCATGGGATTTTTATCTTTGCCACTTAATATCTCAAAAACTAGCTAAAAATGTTGGATTTTTTATTTCATAAATCAATTTAAATATAAAAACCCCACCATTTAAAAAAAATCCTAAGATAATAGCTTTAAAGGAAAAGGGTGCGCAAGTTCGGAAAAATGTCCATTCCGAAGTTGTCCGTCCCACTGTTTATTCTAGAAGTGGTGTAAATCAGATATGGATATTTAAAACTCTAAGAAACTTTCAGAAAATTTGAAATCAAAATTTTTTACCAAAATCAATAACATCAAATTGTACGAATTTTCAACACCTTATACAACCATTCAATGAAAATAGAACTCGTGAATTTACTTTCCTTGTCATTTTGCAAAATTATTTTGTTAAAAGAATTTGAATGTACACACAAGTACTCCGAAGTTGATATTAAAAAGATGCTTCAGTTTCTGATTGACAAAATCTCTATCAGTATCTAGAAGATGTTCCAGCAATCTGTCAGTATTTCCATGGGTACCAATTGCGCCTCGTTATTAGCAGACCTATTTTTGTATTCAAGTGAAGCAGAATTTATTCAAAAACTTCCACATGAAAGGAAGAAGTTAAGTCTCTTGCTGTGGCCTTCAGTTTGATATTTACTTATATTGACGACGTTTTATCAATCAACAACATTCATTTACACCCCCTACGATATATCTATTTGAACTCGGAAAAAAAGATACCAAAGAGTCAGTCACATATTTGGATATTTTACTAGAAAAAGATGATAATTGGTAACCTAACTACAAAACTTGATGAGAAATGTGATTACTTAAGCATTTCTATCGTCAACTTCCCTTATTAATGTCGCAATATACTATTATCACCTGCGTATGGAGTTTATGTCTCCCAGATGATTCGTTACAAAAGAGCATGCTCTACGTACGAACATTTTTTTTAAAAGAGGCAAGCTATTGACAAACAAGTTGATGAAACAAGGATATCTACACTCTCGTTTAATGTCAACATTTTGCAAGTTCTTTGTTCGATACTATGACTTTGTCATCAAATACAATCTATCATTAAGTCGGATGCTGACTGACGTTTTTCATACAAATTGTTTGGCCAATATTTACATACTGAACTACGGATATTTTCGTTGCCCGAACATGACGAGAAGCACAGAGCGGGTGTGACCGGTCGACAGGGGATGCTTACTTCTCCATGACACCTAATCCTACCTCTAATGTTTTAGAGGTCCTTGTTTATTCTGCTCCCAATATGTATTGTTTCAATAAATTTTTTGAGCTTGATTACTTTTTGTTTTCTCCATAGTTCACCAAAAAAAGTTGGTCCTCGCCTGTATCACATAGTTGTAAGTTTGCCATCAATTTTTTTCTCGAGTATAATATCAAAATATGAAACAAAAGTGTCAAACTATGTGGTGTCTTATTTCAAGTTCAGTGGGTATATCGAATCAAGGTATGGAATGAATATTAATTGATATATCAAAATGTCAAATTGAACACCGTAGCAAGAGACTTTTTCTTTTCCTGTAGACTCTTGAGTAAATTTGCTTCAAAAAGAAGACAAACCAGGTCGGAATAAAGGGGGGCGAAATGGAAATTCAAACAGATTGTTTTGCAACCTGGACTCCAAAGACCACATAGACTCTAGCATCCTTTAAATTACCAAGTTCAGAGTACTTTTGTGTCAATCAGAAGGATTTTAACGAAGTAATTCTGTTGATGACAAGTTACAAGATATGAAAATTTCCTATTTCCAATTTTGTTGAAGAAGCAATTGTCATGATGTCAAAAATCCTGTTCTTTATTTTATAACTTTGTGTTCAAGCTCCCTGTACTTAAAATGACCGTTGCATTATTTGCTGTGCTTACCTTTAAAATAAAGTTAAACATAACATTTGGAAAATAGTTTAAGAATTAAGGAAACGCTTTCATACATATTTCCATTTTTATTATTTCTACTAAGAAATGTCCCATGCAACAATTACTAAGTAATACATTCATCAATGTTTCATATTCAAACTTAAATAATATATATTCTTAATAAAATGCGTTCTATTTATTTATCATATCGTACTTCCTGTATAACTTGAATGCTCCTCGTCATTCTGTTTAATCATATATATTTTCACCACGTATCTTCCGTCCATCGGATGCTATCAGTTGCTGTCTAGTGCAGACATTCAGTGTGTCATAGATTTGTATTTATGCATTTTCATCGGCATGAATTAAAACTAAAACAGTAATTATGGACATTTTTTAACAATATATAATGATTATTTTATTCCTTTAAAATGATTAGACGTCAGGTATGTCTGGCATTAATAATATACATGCAACTAAAGGGAATTTAATATAAGTAGTAATACCCTTGCCGTTCATGTATTCTAAACACATTTAACTGTTTTATATTTGGATGTTACTGACTATAGACGATGAGGGCCAACTAAGAACTAAATTGTATACCAAACGGCATTGTGTCAGCTTTTCCATTATCAGTTTTCCTTATTTATGCAGTAATATTTCATCATCCTCTGCATATGGTGTTTATGTCTTCCATCTTATTCGATATTCAAGAGTACGGACAATTCTTTAACCGAGGTAGGCTACTGACAGATAAGTTAATATTACAGGGATTTCAACAACCTCGTTTAAAGTCAGCATTTTGTAAATTCTTTGGTCGTTATAATGACCTTGTTACCAAATATAACCTATCATTGGGTCGTATTTCGACTGACATATCTCATACGAATTGGTATGCCTGTTTTAAACTAAATTATAAATTTGAATATTCTATCTAACGGATCAATATAAAGGCTAATGACGGTTGTGTCCGTTCGACTGGAGATGCTTACTCCTTTTAGGCAAATGATCACACCTCTGGAATTTCCGGGGGTCCAAGTTTTATGCTCTGATTACAGACTTGTATTTTTTGTAGAATTCTTTTTAGATCGATCGCTGTTTTGATATCTTCACTTTTTTCATTATCTTAATTTCTTTTCGTTTTGAGGTTTTTATAGGCATTCTGAGAGTATAAATGAACCTAGATTGATCTATTTATGAAGGACACTTCCTTATATTACAATTCATTGACCAGTGCCCTTTTTTAGTGTCAATTACTTCATAGTAATTGTGAATGGGTTTTTTGGTTGGTCATAAACTACTGTACTGACTCTTGCGTGTTTTTTTTATCATTTTTGTTGTGATAAGGGCTTCATTGAAAAAGCGGAGGGCCCAGTAGATCACACATTCCGGTCAAAATTAGTTTTGGTGGAAAACTCAAACAAAGACGGAAACTGTATGCATAATAAAGCTCATTCTCTTTTAAGCAAGTAGAAATGTTTAATCTAATTACATTCTATTGCACAGTTAGTGCTAAGAAAATTTAAAGTATACATGTTAAAAATTATAAGTGCACATGAATTTACATACACGTAAGCTTGTAACTAGTGCAGAGAATTTATATGAAATATGATTATGAATTGCTGAATGAATTTCAAGTTGATAAGATGGATGAAATTTCATCTACAGTAAAATGTAATAGATAGAGCAACGCAATGCTTTAGAAGAAATATTCCACCTGAAAGAAAAAGTGACTTTGTTAATACAAAATTTGTTTTAAAGAAGAAAAAAATATGTATCAAATTTTTCTGCAGAAACATATTCAAAATTGAACAGTGACACTGTAGTGAGTATGTCACCTTAGGTTTCTATAAGTAGAGTTTAAATTCCCACCGTTACATACATGTATGTAAGTAGATCGACAGACGATGCACATAAGCGTATGGATAATCTATTACTAGTGCATTTTATGCTTGAAGCTTTGGCAAGTAAAGAAAAATTAAATTATTACTACTTCATGTTTTTAATTTTTTTAATCATGCATTTAAAGATAACGCATATTAATTAAGCTCAACACTCCAATTAAACATTATAAATTGAGACCATAGCAAAGTAAGCAAACATGGACCCTTGAAAACACCAGAGGTGAGATCCAGTGCCATGAAGGAATGAGCATCCCCTATCGAGGGTCACACCTGCCGTGTATTCCTTTGTCTTGACCGGGTAAGGGGTAATCCATAGATAATTCAATCTCAATTTTAAGTACTTAAATTAGAAAAAGAATTAATGATTTTCAACAAAGTAATTTTAATCATTATATGAGATATCTTATTTCTGGATTACAATAAAATTTATTTTACGAAAAGATACCGGTATATGCATGTAAATCTTCTGTTAAAATTCAATGTTTTAACAGTCTTCAATGCAGTTATTACATGTATAGGTTTTATTCGTCGCAGCACCATCATATTTATATTTCCTAAATCACTCTTCAAAATTAAAAATTGGCGATGAACTGGTTTGTTTTTGACATTGATTACTAAGTGCATCAGTAACACTTTTTTCTCCTTTCATGGCTTTCGTCTTTGTTATGCTATTAAAGCTTTATCAATTATTGTATCTCACTGAGGCAATATCTTTAGAAAAAGTTTCCTCAAGTTGCCACGAACATATTTCATATCATCTTTTCAATCCAGACTGACATACAGATGGAAAGACTGAGGAAGGCTAATATCCCCCATATACCTCCACCATACCTCGATTAACCGACAAAATTGTACAATTCCTATTGACAATTTTGTATTTAATTTCTTTTTCTCCATGCAGAATTACAAAAATGTCAAACGAACAAAAACTAGTATAAAATATTCTAAAACATAAAACAAAATGTTGGGATTTTTTTAAATAAAATTTTATTCCTTGAAAGATTTAAAACTATCTGATTGTGCAGTTTTGATTGTATATCTACATTACACACATTTATAAAGTCTGATCCCAACCTTATCACATATATTAAGTTTTATAAATAATCGATTGACCTATCCAGATCTAAATTATTGAAAAGCCATATCAAAAAGGTTTTATGATTTTGAAATATGTATAAATCCAGGTGTGAAATTTAATACAGATCTTTTTAAAAATTGATTGGTTAATGTCTTTATCACAAAAACATAAACAGTGTGCAATAAATACCTCAATTTCAAAACATGTAGAGTAATAAAAGCAACCTAATGCAAACAAAAATAATGTACTTTAATCACTTTTTTTTTCATTCATACAAGAAATTCACATTCACAAAAATACTGATTTTTTTTTCAAATACTTAAAAAATATGGACATATTATTGCGATGCAAAATACGTTTTTTGTTTGTTAACCAGTAAGGAAATAATATTCAGTGCAATTCAAAATTAAGGGCACATGCACGCATAAAATTGGCTTCTGAAGAACTATGGTCATATTTGTTGAAGTTCAGAAACATTTATATATTCTTTTTACTATAAAAAGAAATTTGGAATCTAGAATTTTTGTACCTCGTTCCATGATTTCAAATCGAAAATATGTACCTTCATAACAGAATGGTCAGCCTTTTTTCCTTGATTATTAAAAGCAAAATTCTTCATCAAGATAAATAATTTTGTATTAGTATTTTCTGAAGATAAAACCTTTACTTGTTGATCAAGTCTCACGCCTTAGACATCTACAGAGCAATTGAATGGACTTTTTATCAGGAAATCATATGTACAATAAAATAAGAAGTCGACTTCCTTGATTTCAATGATAAGATCAAGTTTCATTCATTTTTGAATCATTTCCGATTTTAATTTATTTTTTCCATGTCGTTGATTTCAATGAAAATTTATATTTTACTCCAAAAATTATGTCTGATATTTCCTTGCCCATCGTGATTAATATTTTGATATGGTGTGGGCACTTGTTCTACAGCTTCTTATACTGCCTCCACCCTAGAGCAAATCATGCGTGCTTCTTTAATTGACATTTAATCTAAAGTCACTTTCACTTTGATAGCAAAAAAGATCTTAAACACATCCATTAAATTAATATGTAATCGTGCTTGTTGTACGTCAGTAAATCTATTCATAGGCTTTCTTTTACTTTGCTTTGAAGGCGTCCATTTTGATAGTTTTTGATCTTTTGTTTTCGTAATCAATAAAAAAAAATGAGAGGAAATAAAATTCAAGAATTCGTGGAAATTCTTGTGTGTGAAAATCTATCCAAAATGTGTATACATCTATGAACTCAGATCAATATTAAGAACAAAAAGAGTCAAATATTAAATCTGATAAATCCGAAAAATCATGACAAGGATATAAAGCTATCTGGTCAATAAGCTTCACATACAAAAAAAGCAGCTTACACGGAGGGATAGCTGAAAATGCTTTTAGACCCTGCATCATTACAAAAACTGTACACCGTAAAACTGACAATGCTATGAGCAGTCGTCCTCATTGTCTGATTGACACACATAAAATTCCTCCTCAGAATCAGAATGACACACTGGATCCGCCCAGACGTCACCCGGAAGTCCTTCCGCTGCGGTGACAAAGTTTTCTTGCGCAGCAAACTTTCGACCTCTTGTTGTGCGCGATCGTACTTGCGCATCCACATCGTCCCATTCCTCGTCCTCACGCGGAGACGTCAGTGAGGGATCGGGTGCCCCGCTTGTACGAATGTTTATTCGCCTAGTTCCCTTAAAAGTCACATTTCCTCGCTTCTTCATTGTGTCAACAGAGTCACTATCAGCTTTTCGTAATTTACCATGATCTCTTAAACTTTGAATTTGTACGTCACCTCCACTTTTTCGACGCATACTTCCTTCCTCAATTTTGCTGATATATCTACTCAATGTTTGTCTATTCTTTTTGCTGATTCGCTTAAGAAATTTGATTTCGTTCACTGATATTGGAATTTTGGGACCATTTTCACGTTTATTTTTAATAACCTCTGCAATCACATTTTTAATATCCTCTACATGAAGCAATGTATTGAATTCCGTGAGTTTTGAAAGGCGCTTAAAAGCATCGTGAGAATACTTGAAATTAAATGTTGAGTATGGTGATTCTTTGTCATCAAAAATATCGAAAGCAGCAAATTTTATTTCCTCTTCAGTCTTTCTTTCAACTCCTAAACAAGAAAATAAATTAAAAAGGTAGTCCTTACAGAAATTGTCATATAACTAAGTACTTCTTTTGACTGGTGCATAAAAATTGTTTCTTTTTTCATAGGTATTCGATTTGAGCAACATATAAACATCCCAGATTATACTTAAGGTGAATAGTAAATTCTAATTAAAATTGATTAAAAACTAATTCATTGTTTTGAAATTTTCTCAAATGTTATCTGGATATGATTAACTGATTTTTTATTCTCGACTTCCTTTTTTCATTTCCAGCCTACTCATAAGAAATATGTCATCTTAACAGAAAGATTCCATTTTGGGGAGCAGAGTCACTCTGCCTTAAAATCTTCACATACCTGGAGCTTTAAATCTCCGGAACTCAATGTTAACAAGGCAGAAATGCAGGACAATTGGGCAGTAAGGATCAGTAGGGTGTTTGAAGATGTAGAGTTCCTTCATTCCTTCCCGGTCAAAAACGGTAGTGTCTATGGGAGGAAACGAAAGTTTGTTCATGTTTGCCCACTTTTCCGCCAACTTAAGTTCCTGTAGAGAAAAATAATTATGATTAATATAATTTTATTTTTTACTAATTATACTAATAAGTACATGTATATATAATAAGAGCTTCATCTACTGCAGTATATATGGAATAATCTGATTTCTTCAGATAAGAAAAGTTGTCACTTGCTTCCTTTCGAGATGAACTGGTTCTCAAGAAAAGGAACGTATGAACACAAGTGCAATATAAAATTTCATTTTATTTCCATTCAATCCATCTTTAACTATTATCTCAACACAAAGTGTAGTGTTTAAAATTCATATGTGAGAAGAACAAACACACAGGAACTCTTTAAAACAAAATCATGAAAACATTGTTAAGATTAAAAAAAAAAAAAAACTTAGTGGATTAGCGAGATGTTGCAGTAAATTTGAAAATCTAGTGACGTCAACATCAAACCAAATGAAAAGGTACGTATATACATACGGAATATAACATGAACTATTATTGAATGTTTTTCATTTGATCTTTGTAGTCTGTAAAATAAATTAAATGAAACGTTTTCCTATGAAAGTAAAGTTTTCCTACGAAATAAAAGTTTCCCTTTAAAATAAAAGTTTTCCTATAAAATAAAAGTTTTCATGACGTGCTATACATATGTAACTCATTTTCACAGGAAACAGTGAATGATGCATCCGAATGTGTCTTGTACGTACATTTCTCCTCGTCTTCCAAAAATGATACCACAAAAATAATGTACTAAATGCATTGCTTAATAAGAGCCATTATTATGAATTTAAATGAATACAAATATTATCTACTGCGTAAGGATTTTCTTGAACTGCAAAACAAAGACATTTAAATTGCTAACTCATATGATATCTATTTACTACTTAAATAATAATTATATACAATCATAAAAGGTTGTAGTTTATCAGATAAATAACGAAAATTTTTCATGAAAGCTCTCTTTTCTAGCATTGATTCTGACTGATAAATCAATGGATGGAAAGTATGAGTACCTTGAATGGCGGGGTGGTATCACTGGGCCTAGCACTGAAGTCGAATGACAAAATGATTTCTACAGCTCTCTGGGCCCGCAGCACCAGGGGATAGGGTGAATTGAACGTCAGGCCTGCATCCACCATGTATAAACGTTTAACGTTGGTGGGATGCATTTCTAACAGGCCATCAAAGTCATCTAAGAGAAAACAAGTATTCTGGGAACTCAAAAATTGATTTTTATGCCCCCGGATCGAAAGATCCCGGGGTATATTGTTTTTGTCCTGTCTGTCTGTTTGTCTGTTTATCTGTTTGTCCATTTGTCTGTTTGTCTGTCTGTCTGTTGTTTTTTTTTTAAATCGGAATTTTTTTGAATAAGGTTTTTATCCTCTACGTTGATTTAGCTTACATTTTGGTCACATAATATATAAATTAAATTTAAATTCTTTGAATTTAAATTTATCTTCTACTGTTCTAAAATTGCCCTCACATAAGAAAAAATATTCTATTTTAATGAGCACAGGGTCGTTTTCCCTGTAAGTACAAATGCTTTGCAATCTCAAACCACATTTATACAAATTGAAGAACTTATGCACAAACACTATTTTTGAACAAAACCTTCAGTCGTATATATACGATAAAATACAATACCTCTTGTACAAAAAAATCAGTATTTAATACAGAATTTTACGGCATTTCAATTGTTAAAATGTTCCAATATTTGATTTTCAAGAATAGCTATTCAAAATGAATGAATTTTTTTTTATTTCTTTTTAAAATAATAAAACGTTAATAAAGACCCTTTTCATCCATTAACCTTAATTTCAAGGAACACATGCAACAAATTTCAAAAATCATGATAATTTATTTGGATCAAAATCATATTGTTTGTTCGACAATTCTTACCGCTGACCCTGTTTCCAGAGTTTTCTGGGGTGAAGGGGGAGAGAGGAAACGTTTGCTGTAACGACAACCCTCTCATGAAATTATGCACTACACCAGCTCTGCCAGCCCGGGAATTTAGCATCTCAAATCGCTTACTAAAAAAAATAAAAATTCACAAGAACATTTTAACATTCTTCACACAGCAATAGTCATACTTATATAGTAGAATTGCTAGAGGGATACGAAATTAAGTTTGTAGAAACCTTCATACTTTTATTTTAACGATTCTCTATACGCAATTGTATATGTATATATTAATTTGTTTTTTATTACTCTCGGACACCCCTGAAATATAACATGCGATAGAGATAGTTGTAAACAGCATATCGAATCTATACTCCACACGAGTTTCGCTTTGTACTGGAATGATTTAATAAACTTAAACCATGTACATTTCAATCTCGAAAAAGGTTTTATCAGTTGACAATCATAAATATTCTGTTAAGTTCACAAGTGATTTTGCGTGGGATTAAATTAAACCTTAAATTCCAAAGATTCGAGTCAGTGAATTAAACGTAAATTTTTTCAAACTTAAGAATGTTCCCCAAATAACAAAATTGATAATATTTATCGAGAAAATTTTATTTCTTGTCTAGAATATATAACTTGAAATTATGACGAAATATGTCATTAAATAAAAAGTACATTTGAATTCAAACTATTGATTGTCTACATGAAAAACCACTTTTATATTAAATTCAGTCTTACATGCATGTAAGATACGTGCATAATATTATGCACTTACTTCTCTAAAAGACCCGACAAGAAGTTGTTCCAGTATCCCTTTTGTTTGGTCCTCCTGATCGGGTTGTTTCTTTGGCGGGGGTTTCCGTGTCCGTTGGACATAGCTTGGTTAGCGGTCGGTGGGAAGGAGAACACGTTCTTACCGTCTGGTTTCTCTCTGGGGTTCTTCTCCGGTTCTGGTTCTTCCTCATCATCCTCGTCTTCGCTGCTGTCGCTCGACTCTTCGTTCGGAGTTTGTTCAAGTGTTTTCACTAAGTATGATAGAAATCACAACTTTTTGAACTTTTTTTCATTTTAATCCGCGTTCACAGACATGTATTCACACTGTGATTTGTATTTTGTATGAAGTAGACATGACTGTATTAAAAAATCTAATTAAATCTGGTTATGCCCTTGAATATAAAACTGTTTTACATTGTTTCCATTCCAACACAAAACATAGCAAACCATAAATAAGGCGTACATCTGGACACTATGCATTGTCTTGTAACACATTACAGCATTTCATAAAAACCCCCTTTACACAGAAGTAGCGACTATTCAGAAATTGCTACGCAATGAATAGTTGAACAGACCTCTCAAGAAATTTTCAACAGTTACCCTGCCACCTCCTTGATCACTAAGTGATCTCCGAGAAGGCTCTACAGTTTCCATGGTCTTCTAAAACTTGATTCTACCTAAAACTGTCCTACATTGATCGCAAAGGTAAACATTGTCAATTAAAGAAGGCCAAGGGATTGTCTAATGATTGTCTAATGATATCTTTGAGCTCCCAATGATTTCTAAGAGGTTTTTCAAATAAATAAATAAATGGCATCTTTTTGTTGCAGTGGACCATGCATGACCAAGCATGGTTCCAAAATAATCGCTCAACAAACTCTCAGATAATAATGTGATAATCATGAACATATATACATCTATGAAGGATCTTTCAGTTTGCACTTCTTCAACACCTAGGTTGCGCAGTGTTATCGCATCAAAAATATCCCCCTTTTTTATCGCACAACAAGCGCATTATGATCTTCAAAATGGTCCTTTACACACATGGAGATCACTAAGAGACTTTGGGACAATATAAACTTGTCCATTCTCTTTAGAATCCCTGAAAGAGAAAGCGTCCACATCTGTATTTGTATTATACGCATGCATAGGAACCTATGTATAGGAGATCATGCGCTTGTTGTGCGATAAAAAAAAATAGGATATGTTTCATGGCAATCTGTCAAGGTCACTGACCGATCTAGATGCTCAATGATCTCAATCTGAACTATCTATCAAAGATTAATGGTAACAATACTTTGTGTAGCGACCTCCGAGATTTTGTTTTGTGTCTAATAAAGATCATTGAGAGATCTACAGAGATTGTACGAGAACACGTATTAAACAATCCTTACATTCAAAATATGTTACTTTCTTTGGAGAAACCTGAGAGATCAATGGAAAATCCAAGAGATCGTTGGACAGTGTTTCTGCACTCTTTTCGGCGTTCTTTGAATGACTGATTACCTTTGCGATTGTTAAGAGATTGTTTTAAGAAAATTTAAGTACAATCAAACTTTGGAGAGACCATGGAACTGTAGATACAACTGGATAATTTTGAGAAATGACGTCGATGGCTTGGAAACCATTGAAAGATCAATGAAAAATCCAGCAAGTTTTGCAAACCTCAGTAATCTCTAACCAACAGTCGCTGCCATAGTGAAAAGTGGGTTTAATGTTTGAACAGAAACGGATTTTAGAGGGTTTCAGAGAATGCCAAGAGATCAGATAAGTCTGCAAATAAACTCTGCCAAAGGTCTCCCAGTGATCTCTATTGTTTTTTGTGCTTTGATTGGTTATCTTCCGAATTTCTTTTCTGTTATAGTGTACAAAGCCGCTAGCCACAATCATATTGGACAACCTCAATTATGGATCTGATATTGCCCTTCCCATGTAAAAATCATAAAGTATTTGAAGAATCAAAGATCTGTATGCTAAGTGTATGCTAATTACATCTCAACAAATGTAGAAAGTAAGAAATTTAGTTTTGTATGATACAATTTAAAATAAGTCAGTATTATTTTGTATGCGCGTTTTTTTTTTCTTTTTTTTGGGGGGGGGGGGGGGGTTCTGGGTAAGCGTTTCCAAAATCAAGGCGCGAACAGAGGTAAACATAGACATAGGAAATAATCGGAAGTGCCTAATGATAGTGCAACCCATCCCGCCAGTTAAGAGAAACATACCCATCTCTTGTCGAATCATTTCTACGGGATCTTTATTCCTATTGTCCTCCAATAACCGCTTAAATAAAATACAGAAGGCACTTCCCCAAATCCCTGAAAAAAAATGCCTACAGTCAAAAAGTGTTGTTTATAATTTCATAACCGCAATTGAAGTAAACATATTTCAAGTTAGTTGCTTTTAGCTAAATATTTGATCTGGTATTACACTTTTACCTTTTATTAATCTTTTTCGAATAATGAAAATATTACTGAATAATATTACCCTGCAAGAAATGGAGAGGTGGTTCACCATAAGATTTGACCAGTTTACCCATGAAAAACTTGCTTCCAAAATACTCTGATTTCATAAAGGCTCCGTATTTTGGCATTCCAATTTCGTAAGGAGAAAATTCAACCCATTCTATCGAAAAAGAGATATTCATAAATAAAATCATTACTTGTGATTTTTAAAAGTAGGAGGAGTTGAAAGTATGTTAGCCTGAACTAAAATATGCTAATATACGATGAGGGGTGCTTGTTATCAATGCCTTTGTGCAGCTATATAAAATTTATATCTATTTATTAATTTACAAATTCTTGTCTTTTATCCTTATTATATTCATTTTACGCACCCTGAAAACTTCGTGCCGATCGGTCTGCTTTTACATTTACACACGTCATCAGCGGAAGGGGTACTCTTCCATGTTTGACTTTCTCCCTCATATCAGATAATTTTGTTGTTAGTCTCTGAAATGACACAAATAGATACATGAAATTATGTAAACAAACAGATAGAAATTTTTTTGTCTGCAGGGTGTATTATATTTAAACTCTCTCACGACACAAAAATAATCGGTGCATTTTTCTATCTGCTTTTTCATTATGCAACCAGTATGATGTTTAGTAGAGACTAAACCTTAACATTCGACGGTACTCTGCATTTATGGGACCTACACTTACGTCTTTAAGCAGTGTTTCACCTACGAGGTGTCCAAATATATCAGTAAAACTAATAGGCTGTCCATTTCTACGTTTTTCAAGAATGCGATCCACATAGCGATATATACTTTGCGGTGACAACAGCCAAATCAAGCTGGAGTCTATATTATTCATCAGTTCTTCTTGCATGTCCCCGGGGTGCATTTCTGGCCAGTCTTTGTGAGAGTAAAGCGTGGATAAGTACCTGCAAAAAAGAAGCAGTGTTGAAGAAGCAGTTGTCTATCATGTCAGCAAGTTATGAATAATGAATTTGTCACACATACAAACTTAATTACCATGATGAGCCCGATAATCCGCAAACGTATGAAGTACAATCTAGGATCCCTGACTTTTCCAGGGCGTTAAAAACTCCACTGTACGCCACCATAGCACGAAATCCGCCACCAGATCCGATCACAGCTACTGAGGGAACCTAATTAGAAAATAACATCAAATGTTTTGAAATTCAATTTAAAGTCATTTTGTTATTTCACTCATATTTTAGTGACCAAAAAATTTTGTTGACAGGTAGTAGGGCGTTGAGTCTAAATTGTTTGAAATCTGATGTTTTTTTTAAACATATTTATTCTATAATTATTTATTTCAATGTAGAAAATACTGATGCTGACTCGGACTTTGGTAAAAATTTTGAGGAAAATTGGAAGACTTATTTTTAAAATACTTTGCACGAAATAATTTATAAAAGCAATGACTGTCATACTATAAAATTTGAAAAGCGTCACACGATCATACACGCTGAATTATGAAGCATACTTAATTCTATATTACCCTTTAGACAGTTCTGTTGATTTAAGTACGCTTCAACTTAACTGACCCTTAATGTACGAATTTTAAAAGGTCAGTCAATGACTCTACAAAATAAAGAAAAGATGTTTTATTTGTAGACTGGATGGTGCAAAGTATACACGTTTTTTATCATGTGAACATGCATATCAAATATCAACCGCGTGATGTGGTTAGAACAAAGCTTCCGTTTCAAGATATCTCATATTCTAATACAGGGCGTTCGCATCTACCCCTAATATGAGACCAAACAACACCGGGAAGGGAGGGCCCGGGGGTCCAATACGAAACGAAAAATACAGGTCATTCTGAAACCTACGTCTTCTATATCCTGAGGTCCCTGCTCTTCTCCGAGTAATTCCACCATTTTCTTCATGACCACATCCTTTCTTTTCTCTATAAAATCCTTTTCTTCGTCACAAAGACACAAGCTGTACCGAAGAGTGGGATTTTCACTGCAAACAATGACCATACAATTATGTATAAGTATGATAAAGAGCAGTGGATGTTTTAATTTATGATTCATAATTTTCTCTTTTTATTTGTACACGTGATATCTATTTTCAATTACCATCGGTTAATGAAATAAAGATCTTTTGATTTTTTTTAACTGATTCTGAAAAATTATCTAAAATAAATCGTCTATATTTTACACAATGTTACTCGAGCAAAATACACCTCTTCATTTAAACACGCATAGAACAAACGAAATGTATAGGTATCGAGGTTAGGACATGACCGACACGAATCGCTTCAAAGAGTACACAAAGAAGTAGGTACGGTTTTGCTTTATTATGCCCTAAAAATTTTATTCAAGAAGTTTTTTAAATTTGCTTAGATATGAGTCGAATATATCTGAAAGTGATAAATCAGGAAAGAATATGGCATAAAGGAAGTCCGTTCTGGAAATATGACGTCATTCATTTGTTACATGTACATTTCTCTGTTTTAACAATGAAACCTCAAAGTGACTCATTTAAAAAGGGGTTAGTTTCCTAAAGCAAATAATTTCTACAGCCGTTCTCCACTTCAATTTTCAGATACGTTGAGTAAAAAATTTTGAGAAATCACATAAATATTTTACAATCTTTGTGTGATGCATGAGATCTATATTGTCTAAAAGAAAATTCCAAAAATTTTGTCTTTCTGCAAATTTTTAAGAAAATAGGAGAAAATAGCACAAGTTAATGACGTCACCATTGACATTTAGTGGGTCATACAAGAAAAACGATTTGTATGATCTTAAAAAAGTACAGGGCCAGATTTGTATTGAAACCGTACCTTGTTCTTTAGTTTTCCTTACAATTCTCTCAAGAAAATAATTTTGCAAGGCTTTTAAAAAAAACTTGTTTTTCTTACTTGAATATTGATAATTATCTTTATTTTATAATTTACACATTTACATGTATTTCCCTTACATCTTGTGTATTGAGCAATTTACACTTCAGTTCAACAAAACAGTCATGTCTTTGTTTTTCTATTGATTTTTCTCTTGAATTCAACGAATTTTTTAAGCGATACAAATCAGCATTCTTCTAAGTGAAATGATTAGTGTCTTGGGTGAATCCTTGTCTGTGGAGTCATTATAGCATCAGTATGGATATAAAGAACTTGAGTCTCTGCTGACAGAATTAATTCCAACAGACTGAAGGACGAATAAGTAGATGTCAGTGAATTGTCTAGAGAGTTTTAGTGTTCATTATACCATAGAATTTTATCTCTCTTCGATTCTCATCCCTTTTTGAAATGCCCCGATGAAGCGACTCATAACAACGACGGGGAGCGGATCGAGGATCTTTTTTTTCATTATGGTTTAGTTGTCCATTTTTTTTTTTAGACGTGGCTCTAATAGTCAGAAAGAAAGCAAATATAAAAACTAATAACTTACTCTTCATGTATACTGAATTCAAGTTCTACCTCAGATTTCTAAAATATAAATTTGAAGAAATTAAAATCATTATGGAAAACAAGGATAGAAATAAAAGAATATATAATTACATGTAACAAGTTGTAGATGTTGATCCTAACTTTCAAAAATAGTACAAAGTATAAAGTCACTATAACTTTTTAAAACAAATGGTTCTCGTAAAATAGAAAATGAACAATTGTAAAAGTGTATTATGAAATAAATTTCTATATTTAAGACATCATTACCCATTGTTTTGACTTTCAGTTGTTGTTGATGAACAAGATGGTGTAAGCATTACTATTATTTTATCATTGAAGTAACAGCTCTGATGCGCAATATTGCATACAGCATAAAACACAGTTTAATTGGGTGTGACCAGTCAACAGGAGATGCTTACTTGTCCATGGCACCTGATCCCACATCTAGAACTGTTTTCAGAGGTCCAGTGTTGCCTCCGCTCATAATTTGTATTGTTTAAGGAGGCCGACTGGGGTTTTCATTGCGCAATACTTCGCGCAGCATAGTAAAATAAAGCGTATTTACTCTTTTAAAGCAACTATTTTTACATAATTTATGAAAAAAATAACAAATTTAGGAAATCTGAGTTAAAAAAATCTAATTACGTTTTTAAATAACTGATTTTCTTAACAATTTTTTCAAATGATGGGTAGATAGACGTCGTAATAGTATGTTTTTGACGTTATGAATAGCCGAAGTTCTTTAAGCGGGGTCATTAATTATGCCATAAAATAAAAAAGTTAAAAAATTAAGCTCTTGAAATTTAAAACATAGGAAATTGAGAATCTAGCAATCATTGTTATTATTTTTTATGTAAATCTGTGGTATCTGTCATGTTTTGTTGTACTCCATAAAAACCGGAAAATATCATGAATTTTGACATATTGAGATGCCCCCTCTGAAAACCAGACGGTAGAATTTTGTGTTTCTTGCATAAAATGTACAATATAGTATTACCCATCAAATAATGAAATTTGAGCAAAAAGTCTATAGTAGCATTTGTATAATTTACTCCGAAGTGCGAAAAAATGGTATTTTCCTATATAATCCTATAGTAAATGTAGTAATAGTAATGTATTTTGAGATGGTCCCTAAAAAATAACCAGACGGTAGATTTTCACTAAACTTGGCATGTATACTGAATTCAATGTAAGGTATATATAGTATAAAATTAAAGAGTTTCTCTATAGTAGTTTTCACACAATAAAACCCCAGTTGGCTCCCTTAAATGGACTTTTTGGAGCGATCACTGTTCGTTATCTTCACATTTCATAGATGTGATGTGAGTTTATGTGTGCCACTGCTATAAATAAAGTCTAACCTATCAATGAAATTTTACTATGTTTACCCCATTAAAGAAAAACGACTTTCTGGTAATTTCGGTTTGAGACAGAGAATTCAAGGGAAACCACGCGTCGCCGATCGTCTGGTCCAATGACCCGGGGTTTGCTTCCATCAAGATCATGTCTGAAAGAAAATGAAGATTTTAAAAATGTTTTTTAAAAATTCAATTATCCAGCAATATCGTATTACTTTGGTCTCCTTTTTATTCAACTATACAAAAAGAATGATAAAATAAATATCTAACAATGAAATTGTGTGATATTGTGAAAGGATTTATCGTGTTGATACTGCTTGAAAAGGATTTTTTTTTCAAACCCTCTTATTATTTATTTACGTGCTTGTGTACCGAAAACTTTTAAACGATCCGCAATTACAGTGACTTAATTCCATGAACTTCGAAACTAAATTTAATATATATACATGTGCTGCATATAAATTCACTTATTTTAAGGTGAAGATTTTAGCATGACTAATAGTGTTTTTTAATTATTATTTTCATTATTATAGTCGAGAGAATACTAGGCCAAGTTTAACCAATTAAAATGCCGATTATATAGTATAATAGTTTCCCATGAAGTTTGTTGCATTTTTTATGCGCAACCGTGTATAAAACATATAATGGAAATATGAAACACATAGAGTGATTGAATTAGATTAATGTTTTTGTAGCACACATGACTTTAAAATCTTTTATTATCTACATTCTGGGTAACCGATATTTTCATTGCACACCATATAATTACACTGCGTATGAAATAGAATTGCAAACCTTCACGAGTTAAAGGACTTATCGCATGCTCTTAAAAATTTCGTAATTTAAGGAAAAATATCATCTATAACCTTGTTTATTAAAATGCTGAATATAATTAATGGTGTTGCAAGCATATTTTAAGCGATATTAAGAGCTGAAAATCAAATAGGCGTTATGCACATTTCAATCGGATTTCGGCGCCATACTGCTGTGACGTCATATGCGACAATTTCAAACATATAAGGTTTGATCTCCTACCTCATGTCGATAAAATCAGTGATTTGGTATTTTATAACGCAGAAAATCTAGTTCATATCGCGTATATTTTAGTAAGATCAACGTAAACGACTGATCAGCCATTGGACATCGCATATGACGAATCACGGTCACGTGATCGCTATCTATTTAATTCAGGGATTTTTATTTGAGTCAAATAGTGTTAAATTAACGCGGTATTTCCACACTAAACACACAAATTTTATAAACTATGACCGTAATGAACGTGAAAAGCTTTTAATTTCAAGTAATTAAGAAACATGCGATAAGTCCTTTAACTAGTTTAATTTTTGTATCGGTAAAACAAAACAATAAAAGTACATCATTGAGGGAGTCAGCAAGATTCCAGTTCCCCTCGAGCAAGCCTATTTCACTCGGCTTCGCCTCGGGAAATAGGCTTGCTCTTCGGGAACCGAAATCTTGCCGATTCCCTCAATGATATACTTTAACTGTACAGTGTTTCCTAGAATTTAAATATTAGCATTAAAAAATCTCAGGGAAATCACGGTGTCTAGATCCAATAACGTTTACTTTGTTAACGATTCCGATTTATATTCTTTGTTAAACTGATAAAATCTATTTTCCGGACAATTTCTAACATTCTTGTCCCATTACTATACAAATATCCAAGGTGTTGTACTTCAAACTTTCTCTGTGTAGAATTTAAACTTTTATCTGATGGATTTTATGTGAATTCAAACTTAGGATAAATATAGATTTTATCTCTAAATATCGAAGAATACGGTCGGACAGAAGAAAAGATAGCATCAAAAGAATAAAGGCGGCATTGGGTGATATTCTAAAAGGCATGACAAGAATTTTATACTTGTATACTGACCATGAATTTCGAAAAAAGACCATGTTGAATGCTGACAAAGAAAAAGTGTGGATGCATCAAATAAGCTTTTAAAAAGAATTTTAATTCCTTTTTCGACAAGAAAAGAGACAAGCTACACTTTGATTTTTTTATAATTATGTTATTAGTATTCTCATTATTTATGTTACCATATCCCACCCGGATCCTAACTAATTGATTTTACCTGAGTTCCATGTATCAATTATTACTTTTTATTAAAGAGTTGTAAATTGATATTGATATAACTGTTCTTCGTGGATCATTAAATTTTGAGTTCAACTAAAAAATCAATATAAATCCTTAGAAGTTAGCTACTTTTACAATTGCAATTACAAAAATTTTCATCAGAATATACAATGCAAAATGCATGGATTTAAGGGCGGTCTTTCCTCTTGACTTGAAAAAAAAACCACCACCGTGTAAGCTTCCGAAATGTGGTCATTTCCCCTCTGGTTACCTACTGGAAGCTGTGGTTCTTGGTGGAGTTCATACATGTACTTTAAGTGTTACGTATAAGGGCGGATATTGCAGATGAAAATTTTCTGCACATGTAACAATAGTGTAAAAGAACAACAACTCCCGACCCCCAATGTGAAATTACATTGGAAAAGGTATAACCCCAAAGTATCAAATTTTAAACTTTTTGGTACATGTGTATTAATGTCTTTAATGAGTATAAACAAATAAGTCAAGAAAGCAAACGAGGGGGTCTTATATCTCACTTGTGTACTGATATACTAATAGTGCACTCCTTTAAATAAGATCTCGACCCGAATGGAGAAAATACTCATCTTCCTCTTATTCTCTCAATTGTTTAGTGCAGTGCAGTAACAGTCCTTTCCATAGTTCAAGGACAGGTAATTAACACACTCACACTCGCTTAGGTAATGGTTGAGAAGAAATACGTTTGTTATACTAAGTGACAATTTCTTACACATCAGAGTACATCAGTATCAGGGGGTGGGGGGGGGGGGTGAGATGCCCCCTTTACTTTTTTCGAACCTTTTACTGTTATAAGTTAAAAATGTTCATTGCCCCCCCCCCCTTCTGTTGCAGTATAATCAAATCGTCCCATGGTAATGTATTGATAAAATTTGAGGAAAAAGTTGGAACATTAATCCCCCCCCCCCACCCCCAAAATTGTATTTTCGAGTTTCTGACAATTTACTTTTTTATAGTAAAGGACAAGATAGGCTAGGACCCCTTTTTGGCCCCTGGTTTGGGGTGTCTTTGAGAATGATACAATAGTTTATCAATTAAAAACCTGTTGTCACCCCTGCCTCAAAATGAGTATTGGTTCCAAGTTAAGGGATACACAGGAAGGTCAGAAAATATGTCAATTTCCGAATTTTCTCATTTTTATGCAAATTTTCATCGATTTTACAGCACATTTTGGTTCAGAAAACATAGAGCACAAGCTTGCCTATCTACCAAATTTATATATTTCATACACTAGTATCAGATGCATCTTATGTATAAAAATCTCAGATAGGCAAGCTTGTGCTCTATGTTTCTCGAAGTGAAAAGTGTCTCAAATTTGACAAAATTCGACCAGAATTGAGGAAATTCGGGAAAAAGTCCTACTTCTGCACCCTCTTGTGGCCTCCGTGTAAGCTTTGAATCAAAATTAGTGTTGGTTTTAAAACAAGCATCATTTTAAGTTCTTAACTACAAACTATCACAATTTTAACTGTGTTCTGATTTTTACATCAAATAAGGGGCCAGATTCGGCCGTTACCATACCTTGTCCTTTGTCAAAGATTTTTCAGCTAAGTTTTAATTCTTTTTCTGGTTGCCCCTGCGTACATTTTCAAAAACGATACAATGTGCGAGCACATTTTAGATGATGAACAATGATGCTCATTTGCTTGATTATGAAACACTAAATCATGAACTATTTATTTTTTTAAATACAATTCAAGAGGATGACTAAATAATTTTTACAAGGATCTATGTATTTCACACGGATAAGATGACTGAACCTATGCGAAGCTGACTTCTTGTGGTTACATGTAGCAGGGTATCGAACGGATAACGTTAAAAAAAGAATAAATATTCAGTTTTTTCATAGCATCTATTGTTCAGTATTCAGTATTTTCATAGCATCTATTGAACTAATGGAGGAGATACAATAAAAATATGTAATATCTTAAGTACAAGTTTCCTATTGTATGAGAATATACAGGGCGGTGCTTAGTGCGAGAGCGAGAGATTGTAACCTTTTTTACCACAGTGACTTTGGTATGTACTCATCACAAAAAAGTCAAAAATTAGAATGAAATCTGAGAATGTTTTATTAAGGTAAAGGAATCAATGGTGCATGATTCATTTCATTGCTTTGTTACAGAAATGGGGGGGGGATATGACAAAGGCACTAAATGACACATGTACAAGTGACTCCGAATTTTAAACACCTCTAAGAGATCTTGAACATTTAAGTGATACGTTATTAATTGTTTATTAGAAAGATGTTTCATCGTTATTGTTTGCATTACAAAACCTGACAAACACCCCAAACCGCCCTAAATTCATGTTTCATATAATCACAATTCTTGTAGATAGACTTCGACAGAAAATTTGCACCCAAGTATCATTTAATGCTAATGATGGGCAAAATGTCCTGTGCTTATCATATGACAATCCTTTGTATGCATTTTAAGGGATGCATTGAAGATTATTTCTTTAACCAGGTAGCAGACGGAATTTAATGCATTCATGCCATGCCAAATGCTAAATATGCTAAATCTCAGTATCATATTCTTCTTATTTACTACGTAATTGTTAGACAGGCTAACAACAATACATAAATGCCAGGCATTTCAAGTAGAATAATTTAATCGAACACTTATTTAATTCATTTTTTATATACACGTATGAAAAGGTTGCGGTGCAGTTTTTTTTCCGGATGGCCATTTTTGGAGTTCTGTCGCTAGCTATCTATTCTTTATTTTTATTAAAAAGACTGTAAATGTTTGCAATTGAATTAAATTATACTGCACATAAATATAACGTTTTATCGAGGTTTGAAATCGTTTGTGTATACTTCAGATCGTATGATTTCGAGTGAACAAGGAAGCAGTCCCTTTGACAAATCAAATTCTAATGGTTCTCAGCATCCGAATATTTCTACCGTGTACGTTTCCTGATTTTTTTTATCATTTATTTTCCAAATATTCTCACCGGTACTAATCTTTTTATTTGCTTCCTAAAAAGAATGAACATTAAAATCAATGGCCCAGCAAAACCAAGTTAAAACAAGACGGTAGCTGACACAAATAAAATGATAATGACAAAAGTTCATTCTCATAAACTGCATTTACAGTATACATGGTGTAGAGGGAAAAAACACGTGTGAGAAAAATATTATAAAGTTTACCAATCACGAGAGCCAACTCTTCAACCAAAAGGTTAAAATTAAACTGGAAGCAAACAGGAGGTCGGCAAGTATTCTCCTGAGAGTTCTGAATGAGAGGGAAACATTACGCCGCTTCTGAATATACTAGAAAAGGTCTTAACGGCGTATCTAGTGACTGTTTTGTTTTCCGGTTGCCTTTAATTAATGAAATAACGGTTTCGGAGTTATGAAACGTTACTGCAAACCATCATACGACTGGAATACACAGCAGACACTTCAGCATGTATGTTCTGCTCAAAACAATTGTTTGTTCGACTTTTTTTAAATTAAAAAAAGGGGGGGGGGGGGAGAGAGAGACATCTGAGAAATTTGTCATTTTAAAATACACTGTACATAAGACCTTCCTTCTTGATAAGTGTTTTCTGTACTACAAAAATATATTTTGCTGTTTGAAAGAGTTATGTACATTGTACTTAATATTTATAAACTTTTTTTCTGCGAAAACTGGAACACTACAATAATTTGAATTCCACAGACAAAATATCTAGTTCCTAAATGTAACAAAAAAGGAAGGAAACTGAATAATACATAGTTTACATAAAGAATACACATTCATTGAGGAAATAGAATTACCCAAGAGGGTAGCTTTATAAAGCAGTAGAAAATATATTTTAAAAAAAACTTATATTTTTTGTTGACAGTTTGTAATTATAAGATTATGTTTCAAAACCTAACAATGAACAATTTTAAGACGAGTATTTAGCTTAGCTAGTAGCTACTCTCATGTATAAATCCGGCGCCAACCTTTACGGTGACTGTTGAGGAAAACCACCGCAGACCCTTGATAACAACCTTTCAAAAGGTTAACTTACGTAATTTGTTTTCGACCTCTCCGTCCAACAGGAATGTGAAGTCCTCGTTCCAGACCGGGTTGACCTCATTATCCTTTGTCGTTGTTCGTCGCCGACCTTCGGGGGCAGTTTTTATCCGTAAAATCAAGTATGGGTCTGGGGTGTCCACTGTTAATGTTAGAAATTATCAACAATCATTAATGTGCGTGTGTATTTTTTCAATTTTTTTCTGCCGATAAAATCACACACAATTTTAAACTATATCAAAATTGATTTTAAAATGACAGTAGTTTATTGGTGGTGGGGTGGGGTGGAGGTTCTTTTTCAGCCTCAAGACTGTTGCCCCAAAACAAAAACGTTCCTGATGAGCCCCTTAAAGGTTTGAACTACATGTATATCTGCATGGTTACCCCCCCCCCCCCCGGTACTTTTTTCCTATTTTCCTTTAAAAGATAAATGACAAGACATATTTTATATTTTTCCTTTCCAATCAATTTTCCATTTCATATAGAAGTATGCAAAAATAATCATAAATGATTTCTGATATAAATGCTACAAATTTAAAAATTATTATTTACAAGTCTCTGTGTGCATTTTTTGAAGTGCATACTTCAAAAATTGAAAATGTTTCCCTGTTCGGCAACAGACTCGTATTACATAGATGTTTAAATCATTTTCATACGACTGAACAGATACCATGATGAACGATGTTATCTTGTATTGCATGCAATTATATTTTGAACAGAATTATGATCATTCCCAAGTCTCTTTTTTTCGGTGTAAAATGCATTCTTATCTCATGATCATGATGAGTTTCAGTTTCAGTTTCTCAAATTGGCTTTGGGTAATGTATGGAGTGGAGTGAAGTCATGGAGTCTCTGTGCTTCATAACATAAAATGACATCTTTATCTCCAAACAGCCACTCTTTGTTTTAGAGTAATATAACTCAACCAAAAAAAATCAGATTTTCAAAATACATATTCCATAAATAAATGCCTCTTAAATCCCAATTCAATGTTTATTTATATGGTATGTATGCTTTTCCTATAAAAAAAAAAACAATCCACGGTATATATCTATAGATGTAACAAGATTTTAGAAATGCTTGCATACACCACTTTGTTATATATTGAAAGGATTTGTGTTGGGATGGGGTCTTTTTATCATATTTCAGCTTCAGGACAGTGGTGTGTTTCATAACAGGGTTGTCCCTAAGTCCCCCGGGTCGGGGAATTTCCTCGCCTATAACAATGTATTCAAGGACGGTTATTCTGGTATTCCCCCTTAACTACTGTTAGGGGAGGAACCCCTGACCCCCTTGTACTTTTTTAATGTCCCCTAATATTTTAAGTAAGAAAATGATTTATTAAAGTAACATGTGTTATACAATAAGAAACATTTAGTACAAATTTCAATTCTTAGGGTCAACCCTGTTTAACATAAACTACTTGAAAAAATATTTAGAAATGTCTTTGTGAGGGGTTCATACAACCTTAATACATATAACATATAGCAATTAAATAACTACAGTTGATTGTATCTTTTTTATCAGCAAGGAACATCGAACTAAACATCAAAGAATCTTATTTCACAAAGTCCTCTCAAATATGGATTATAAGACACAAGATAAACAACAGTTTAGAGTCCTTTGAAGTAATGCCCTCAGATTTACACATCTTTCTATTGGGCCAGCGTTTGTTTGATAACTAATAGTAATCCTTGTATCTGCAGATACGCCTAAGATTTTTCTTCTTTTACTTTCAAGATTTTTTTTTATTCTGTGCTTATCAATTTGTTCAAGCCTCTTTTCTCAGTGTTTGCAATCGGTATAAGTGAAAATTTTATTATAATGAAAAGTGACGTCAATATTTGATTTTTTTTTAAAACTAGAAAATCCTCGACAAACATTTTTTTTTTTTTCAAGTACTGCAGTATAATGGACGTATTACAAATACTTTACCGTAGTCCATCCATCCCTTCGTGATATTTCTGCCGCACACGACCTTCACATTCAAAATCTGACAAGATCTGTGTTCCACCTAAAATGCAAATAATTACGAATGTTTGATTTGAATCAGGGACGTTTCTTTTTCTTGTTAGTTTAAGAAAAGAAAATATGCATATGGCTAACGTGTCTACCTTTCATTATACTTCAGACAATAAGAATCATCAGATTTCGCCTACATGTATAATTATTAGCAACAAATAATACAATATTGTAAAAGCTTTTTTAAAGTCTGATTATTTCTTGGCTTATCAGTTGGACACTGTCTTCAAAAGTTCGTCAGTCGCTCTTCATTTCCGTATACACATACGTGTTGTTACTGTTGTACGAGCATTGTCATGTGGAACAAAATGTTATTGATGGGGGGTATTTCATTTAATATGCTAATATAAGGAATTCCTTGTTTTTACGTGGACATCCTCCTAGATTTGAAGGAAGTCCCAAGGCCGAATATAGATCTGTTAGGACATCCTGTGACATTATTGTAATAGAGGACAATCAGCCTCAGTATTTTTAGCTATCAAATATTAAGCCAGGTCTAACATTCAACTCCAATGAAGATAAATTTTAGAGAAGTTCTTATAAATAAATGTAAAACGGCTATTGTTTTTTACTTTAAAGTTGCTACCTCTGAAGGCTTTGAACATATAAGGTTATATTAATGATAGATTAAAACTTGAGCAATCTCTAATGAACACCTTAACAGTGTCGTTTTCATATTCGTAATTAAACGCAAAACTTTAATATCGCAGTTCATCAGATACGGCCAACAAAACGGGTGCATTCTTAGCCTATGTACAACATATATTGGTAGCAAAGATAGGGTACATCCATATAAGGTATTATATTTGTTTCATTAATGGCTAACATTACTAAAAGATCGTGACTCGTCCCACTTCCACAATTAAAATAAATTCTATCATCAAGTGGATATTTTATCAGCGGAGGATTTTAAGGTGCTTACTAATCAAGGGTGGGTGCGAGTTCGGTCATTACTGTCACATTTTTTCACGAGTGGACATCAATAAATGCTACAACTCCAGACCCCACAGGATATGCTTTTAATCGGAGGCTATAAATAGCTTTCGGCTTTATGCTTTTGAACGACCTTTTCTGTAAGGTCATCTAAGGACAAGATCCAGAAAAAAATGTTATACTTAGTCACTGAAAAATGCTAAGCATCAAGGCGCTCTCAATACTTTTTTTCTCTGAGTAGACAAATTTTAAAGCAAAGGCCTGCGTTTATGGCGTTCAAGTGACTATAAATGCAAATTAAACATGTTATTGTGTATTTCTTTATCTAGTATACATGTTTGTCTTTTAATTTAATTGTCCTCAGTGTGCCTCATTCTGATGTTTCATTTCTTTTCTGTTATCCTAGTCAACAAGAATTGATTCTTTATTTCAACATATATATATATATATATATATATATATATATATATATATATATATATATATATATATATATATATATATATATATATATATATATATATATAAAAGATACTTAAACGACCTTACAGACAAATATTACGGTCTATTTAGTCGTCTTATTTGAACCATTGTGTATACAAAATATATATCGACATTTTTCTACTATAAAAAGAAATCAGGAATTCTTTTCACGAGCCTGATAGAATCGAAATATACATCGCTTAATCAAATTTTACATTTAAATAATCTAAATATAATTTTATATTAAACGTATGTGCCATTTTTTTTTTTTTAATTCGACGCACAAAAAAGTGCGGTGTTTTATGACAATCGCATTTCACTACATTATTAAATGTAGGTGCTTGAGGCAGACTGTCCTTGAATTTACGATTTTACCTGCAAGGTACATGTATATGTACATCGTTATGCTAACGTTAAAAGAGATAATTTTTTAAAGACTTACCTCAAAGACTTGATAGGGATCAAACCTAGCAAATAAAAATGGAAGATACCTTATCAGTAAGTTATACAATGTAGGCAAACAAACGTTCCGCTGCAAAACAGATAATAAATTGGTAACTTTATTACCCCATTATTACTCTGAGTTCAATTGTTATATATTCAAAAATATTTCAGAAGCTTATTTTCTCCGGCATTGTTGTTAAGCAATTGAATAATATGTAATTACCCTTTGCTCGAGCTCATTATTTACTTCGTGTAAAAATCAGTAACTTGAAGCGTTGATTGCTTACAATAACCCGTCTGTCATCACACTATCAGACGACAATGTCAGAACTTTTGATGGAAGTATAGTGCACATTCCATAGAAATAGGTTAAAATCCGAACATTTTGACCTCCTAGAATTGACACATTAGAATCTGGACAGAACATCGAGCTGTTGAAATTACATAACGAAAACCATATAATATACCACTAGAAGATTTTGTTATAACAATCCACACCGTGGCGTTCTACATATATCAAGTAGTTTATCCGGTATGTACATATCAAGTGACGTCATAGACCGGAACCGAACATTTTTGAAAGAAATTGAGGTTTAAATCTATTTTTATCAGAAATGAGACACGGTCTTCAATGTGTCAACAACCAGGTAAACTAAAGATTAGACTACTCTGGCAGCGTTTTAAAGATGTTTATGTAAAAGTTTACTTTGCGGTAATCTGTTTATCTGAAGACTTTAAAGCTGCAGGGTAAAGATGAACGTTATACTGTAAGGCTGTTTGTATTCTTAGGTTCACCTACTGAACATCTGAAAGTATCAGTTTTTATTTGGATTTGACAATATTCTATATATAGTAAATATGCATGAATACAATATACATGTACCTTTATCAATATAATAGCATTGTTTGTTTTTTGCTTTTCGTCCCTTCGAGAATTTTTCACTCATATTTGGATGCCAACTGCCTCTGGAGGGCTGAAAATTTAGATCTCAGTTACTCTACACTAAGGTAACCTGTACTCGGCATTGGACTGAAGATCTTTTTTTTTTTTTTTTTTTTTTGCCAGAACTTCTGCAACAGGAGACTCAATTGTTTTTCTAAAACAATCTTCACTCCGTTGGAAGTGCCGAGTGTCCTTTCTGACATATTTTATTTTATCAAATAAATTCTGCAATAAAGTAGTCATATTGCAGAATTTATCTGATAAAATAAAATTATCAGAAAGGACAAGAGGTTGCCAAACTGCAAAACGGCATTTTCCTTAACTACGTAATGATTAGTGAAAACGCAAATAAGACCCAGATGTAGGGCTAAATGGAAAAACCTGAGGCCTGTTCAACAGAGCGAACGTTCGCGAGCGCTCGCCTAAATTCCTTATCCCTCCAACAGAAATGTTCGCGAGCGCTCGCAAACGTTCGCTCTGTTGAACAAGCCTCAGCCCTCCCTCAAAGTAGACTACTCTGAAGGGTATTAAATAGACCGCACTAAAAGTCTCAGTTAGTTCTGATGCAGAACGGCTGTTGGTAAACCGGAAGTAAAGTAATAAGGTGTGTGAGAAAGAATTAGAGAAAGAGTAAATAGGTTTGCACCAGTGACAAGAATCCCGGGGCATTGAGGCGAGATACTGGGGGCTGTAGATCTGAATAAGAACGAAACACCTAGTATCCGCTATCAATATGAATACACGGTGCCAAGCACAAAAGTTACCCAGTCATTAGAATTCAGTCCACCTCATATATTCTATAATTAAAGATAATATAAAAACCCAGATAGGTTTAAGAAAAATTATACTGTACATAGTTAAAGGCTTGATTATAAACTCAGGTAGAGAACTAGTAAGAGAAAAATTCATCCCCTGAAATCCCTACGCAGGAGTACACGTTACAACTATATCATTTTGAAATTGGGACTCTGTGGTTTTGAAAATTTTGCAATTTTCAGAATCACTATAACTTCGACCACGAAATTAAAACACAAATGTTCTTACGGGTCCTGGAATAAACGCAAGGTTAAGAAGATTATTATTAACAGGAACTGCTCTATAAATTGATTAACTTGCCATTGAATATCACGGAACTTCCGATGCTAAAATAAAATGCGTTTGCTCTTGTTGCTGGACACGAATCAAGGGCAAGTGAGTTGTATCTGTATATACTGTAGATCACCAAATTTTGGCGACACTTTAATTTCGCGAGAATCCGTTTGGTATTTATAAGCGAGACATAATTTTCACGAACTATGAATATTGTTCTATATAATCTTTTGTACTACAAATATACGCGAGAATTAAATTTTCGCGAGCAGGCTGTCTCGCGTAATTACGCGAAAATAAAGTTCTCGCGAATAAAACGTTATCTACAGTAATCTAAACATACCAGTGTGGGTCGCCCATATGGAGAGCACACAAGGTTCCAAAGTAAATGAAAAGACGTACACACTGGCATACCTTAAATGTACAGACTGCAAAATTTCATTTGAAAAGAATATTTTGAGATGATGAGAACATGAATTCAGATGGCACACATTTTCATCAACTCAAGTCATACAAGATAACTATGAAATGTGTCAGATTTTTACTTAAATATCCATCTCTATGTTGTAGTGATATCTTTCCTTTCTCAGAAGAAGAAGACATAAGCGTCCACATTTTTCCTGGATCCTCCTTCTAATTTAATCTTTTCTTCCTTGACACATGACAGAGAGAAGATCATCTGAAAAGTTTTTCTCGCTTATACAAAATCACACAGAGATAAATATGAGTGAAAACCTATCCACCATCAAATCTCGCTACATGTACCAGAGGTTACAATATATAGATTGTATTTCCTGACCACTCGAGATATACCTGTCCAGTATTATCATCGGGTGCTACATTTTAACTAGTTTAGATATGACCTGGTCTGTAAAAATTTTCCTATCTCAAAATAAAACTGCAAGCATAACAAAAAAGTATATGTAAAAAATGCTAAGGATCTGAGAGCATGCTAGGCACTACAATGCTTTGAAGTCTACACTTTAGTGTTTATATTCTGTTGACTCAGTGAGAATATAGACATATATAAAGACAGGACACGAAATACATACAAAAGTCACTCAAGTCGCATGATAGGGGAAATGCTACATGCATGTATAAGAAACAAAGCTTTTGGGTGAGAAGTGTGGGACGGAGCAGAAGTAACTAAATATTATTTTGTAAGAATTACAATTTCATCATCTGCAGTAGAAGTTTATGAAATTCATGTCACAGAGCTGTCCATTAATAAATGAATGACATATTAAATAATTCAAGCACTCTCTAGTCTATAATGGATTAATATTAATGTTCGTTGTCACACGGATAATCTAAACTGGAAAGAAAGATAACTCTCGTTTGGGTTGATGACATTCCTTTTTTAAAAAAAAATGTGAAGTACAGAATTGTCCAATTCTGCCCCTCAATGTATGCTGAAATTATGTGTATTTTGATTAAAAATTATATCTCTTTTTGACAATTATTATCACTGCAGCAAAATTTTATTTGAGTGAACAGAGGAATGAGTTTAAGTGATTAATCAATTTAATCACAGATTTCTTAAACTCGCTTTGAGCACTGATCTTTTTCATTTTTTCACACGTAGTTTCTATTTATATTGAATAGTGTTAAATTATTTGGAAAAGTTTAATTTCTGGGACTATCTTCGCAATGTTTGTTAAAAAATTTGTGTGTGTGTGTTTTTTTTTTTAAATTTTTTATAAAATCAAATCGTTCATGTACTTCTGCAATATATGTGGGTGATGATCCATTCTGCTTCATACTGATTTACGTTTAAAGTTTTTCTCAAGGGCTTTTCGGCATTGCGTTTTAATCGATTTTAGTTAGACGTGGGAAAAACTTAATTACAATTTCTTTATTAAAAGATCGAATTCAGGGACGCCTCGTAAGCCTATTAATATAAGTCATTTAATGCAATGGAAAGAAAAAGAAATTCACGTACAACGTACATTTGTCAAGAAATAGTAACAAAACGAATCTTCATTTGAAATTTGACGCATCATACTTTTGTCTTCCCACAAATTTTTATTAAAATAGAAAATTTGGTATAATGACTATTTATAGTCATAAAACCAAACTTTCTATTTTAATAAAAAATTGTGGGAAGACACTATGCAAAGCTCTTTTGTATAAACCAAGAGATTCCCTATATATTTTAACATTAGATAGATAAAATGTCTTGTAATTTTATGTAAAGAGAAAACTCTGTCAAACTCTATATGAAACAGTTTACTGATGGGCATTCTGATACTATGTATACTTGAATGATGTTACATATTGTCGAAGACTCCACTTTTAATGTATGAACTTTTATAGTCTTATGTTCAGTACATGGCCATAGGAACCGGGGAGGGGGGGGGCACGGGGGCCGTGTCCCCTCCCAATAATTTTGCCGATATATAGATTTCTGTAGTAAACTTAGATACTATAAGCTTATGCCCCCTCAAGAAAAACGCCTGATGACTTTTTTTTCTTATTCTTCTTTCTTGTCAAGGAATTTTTGGTAGTTGATGACCCTTTTTTTTTTTTGCTTGTCTAGAAATTTTTGGTAGTGTCCCCTCAACTGAAAATGTATGGCTGTGCCCCCCAAACTAAAATTGCTTTCAACTGGCCTGCAGTTACTGTTCTTCGCTTGTTTTATAGTTGATTAACCTTATACAAATAAATGGAGAAAGAAAAAATAACATGTGCGTTTCTTTTCTTTTTTCCCTAGTACTACTTTGAAAACCTTATTGACCTTTCCTCACACAGGACACTCCCCTCCACCCCCACCCCGAATCCCCCATCCCCACCCCAAAAAATTGTGAGCAATTAAACATGGCTGAAAAACATTAGCCTTCTGTCAATTGAATCAGTGAAGGTAGCTTAAGGTTATATTTTTTTTCTTACGAAATATAAAAATTGCTATTCCTTGACGATTTATACTCTAAAGGAAAACACATATCTTTTAATATCTGTAAAACTATAAAGATTTTAACTGAAAGGACAAAAAGTCTCTTTTTTCTGTACACAGTCAAGACTCATCTCTTAAAATAAATCTAGACAATTGTATCTCTTCTATATATATTTTCATATTACATGAATACAAATGCACTACTTACATTGTGTTGAATGAAATACCCCGATCGACCTTTAGAATGTACGACACAGTTAAAATATTGATATATTCTTCATCACTGACAGCTGTACTATCAAAACAGAATATTTCCTTAATACCACTGATTGCAATATAGAAGAAAGCATACAGCCAACAAAATTGGATTTGTCTGTAGGTATTGATTGATATAACACGCCAGTGTTGTGAAAAATTGGACACTTGTTGGAACATTACCGTGTTATTGTCAAGTTTTTGTTTTGTTTTTGTTTTGTTTTGTTTTTTAAACAGCCTTTTTTATTTAATCAAACTAAAGTAATTTTCAGAGATAAGGTTTATATTAATCAATACTGAGATAATAATGATTGTATATTAAGTAATTTTTATTCATAACAATAGCTGAAAAATTCCTTTCTGAAGAACAAGTTTTTTTTTTTGTTTTTTTTTGGGTTTTTTTTTTTTGGGGGGGGGGGGGGGGGTCAGAATTCTTTTCTTTTGCATCTGTGGAAAACTTTAAACTAATGAAATCAGATTGCTTAGTATCAATATGCAATGTGTTAAGCAATTTTCTAACTTGGGAATTTAGATTTATATTGTGTTATTCTTCAACTGCTTTTCATTTTACAAAAAGATCGATGGTCGCGGTGTCTTTTGTGCAGGAAATGCAAACCAAGACGTGATGACTCAGTCCGTCTTTAATTAACAAGGAAGATACCTGAGGAGGAAGGAAGAGTTTGATAGAGTTATCGGACTTTATTAGTATTATAAGCTAACCCAAGAAACGTTACAGATGTCACATTTCATTGTTATTTATGTAAAGCAAGACATGTACAATCAAAAAGCATGTTAACTACTTTGTTAAGGTTAATGGGGTACAGTCATGTCAATTTGTCCGTACTGCAATCATTGTACTACATATATACAATGTACAACGGGCCATGTACAACAGCTGCTATATACTTTGCAATAAAGAATTCAATGTAGTCACATATAAATAAATTCAAAAACTAGGATCTTAATGTTTTTTTCTAAAGCGAAGATAGTTATACAATATTCGCTTTTTGAAATCGGTTATTTGTTGACATAATACTCGAGAATATTTCTGACAGCATTTTGTGTTTTAAATCCTTCTCAACAAAGTCGATCTTGTTACATAATTTTTTTCTTCTTCTTCTTCTTCTTCATTTGCAAAAATTTCTAAATTTTTTATTCCATATCGACAATGTCCTTATTAAATTAAGCTGTTCTCTCCAAATTAGTTGTCAAGTTCATGGGCCATTAATTAACTTGTATTTTCGTAATCTCACGATCACCTACATGTATAAAATTTATTTCTTATTCATAAATATCTTAAATAAAGTGATATTAAGAAAGGTACAAAGGCAGGGAATTTGGCCACAGAATCGATAGAAAATCTAGAAAGAAATGGAAAAATCCTCTTTCAAAATACAGGTATTAAGCTAGAGAGACTTTTCATTTTGTTGGTCATTTATTGATGAACTTCGACAGGTTCTAAACAAGTTTCGCAACAGTGGCTTAAGCCTAGGGGCTGGTCAATAATGGAATTTATACGGAAGATGCTAAACAAGATAGGGGGAGATTCTTCATCATGATATCGCCATCCATTTAGCCACCACAACTACCGAACCCAGTCTTTTATATTTCTGTGGGTGGATGAGACATAGGCCAGCGGTAAATCAAAGACAATTTAACAAAGTTGTTAATTTTCTTTCGAGTGAGTTAATACGTAACATGAAATCATGAAGCGGGGATGGCCCTATTAGGCACGGATAGAAAAGGAATCAAACACATTAACGAGCTTGTTTTTCTTTTCTAGATAAGCCTTTCACGCCTTTTTCTTTTATTGCAGTTGAATAATATATTGTACGTTTAAGTGACTGACAAAAATATTTGTAGAAAGTCGTGAAATAAAACTTAAATTATGAAATTTTCTAATTCTTTCCATTTTTATCATGTTTCTATTAAGATGTGAGGTTAAATTACACAGTGAATAAACATTTTAGAATATTCAACTTTTTTAAAATAAAAAACAAAGCTTACACATTAAACTGATGATTCGTAAAAAGCACTTTCTATGTATTGTAACTCTCAGTTAAGCTTATCAAATGACAGTGTACATATTACCTACCAGAAGTAACAACAAACGATAGGTAGATGACACAAACAAAATGACACCTTTAATCTTGTTAATACCGAATTACATGACACGACCACATTTTGATTGGCATTATCTTTTGAAAAGAAAAATATTTAAAAAAAAATATTTCTATAGTGTGATAGTCTTGATACATGCTATAGTGTAAAATCAAAGAAATTTATGTGATTTTTGAAAATCTGACGCCATGAAAGTTTTATGGAAGCGTATTTCTGCCAAGTTTATGTAAATTCTACAGACTCTACCAAAACGAGACGTAAACAATAATCATCTATAAACAATAGAACAAAGAAAGAAAGCAAATATTTAAATACTTCGTCAGAACAGTCTATATGTTCGGGCGATTTTCACGCCTGTGCAACTATCTTGTCCCAAGGTGAGTCAACAGTGAATTGCAAGTGATAGGTTCAATAAAATTAATTAAATCTGAGACGCTTTCCAACACTTTGGCTACTGTGAAAATGCTAATACTTAAGTCATTTTCAAAACAAATGTCTTTGCACGTTGCAGAAACATTCTAATGGAATTTCAGATTTTTTGACACAAAGATTTTGAGATAGTCGGTCATTTGTACGAATGGTCACATGACTTTACTCTGGACTTGAGCGACAAGAAACAATTAGTTTGGCCCCAGGCTTCGATGATACTGAGAGATACGGAATTCTAAACTTCTCTTCGACTTTTTTTTTTGCCTTTCGCTTGTGTATCGGCCAAAAATTCTTTCGCTCTGTGGTAAGTAAAATGCCTAATTTTATCAGTATTCTTTTAGACTTGTGCGGATCCTATATATTCCGCAGCAGTTATTTGTTGTTCATGATGTCAAGTTATCTCACTAGGTTTGTTTCTTTAGATTCTGATTATATTTTCTAAAAATAATTGTCTAAATAACTGTTCAAATGAAAATTGAAGTCAATGATGATTAATTTCACATACAATTCTTAGAAACCTTTTAATTTTTTAATTTCTCGATTTTTGCTTTTACATTAGATGGTCAAATTTTGATCTTTGAGAATTTTCATTCCTGCGGGTAGAGTTGTGTCATAATTACACGTATCTCAATTTTTCATCTTGAACATTATCGATATCGATTGTATAATATCTGTATCAATTTAAGTGTCTTAATAATTTTATAAACTTAGAGATTAGTGTAATAGATGCTTGCAGGAAAATTAATTTAAAGAAATTCTCGTGTTTTAATTACTCTATTTACATTCACCCAGCAACTAAAACATAAGTCATGCCATTTATGTAATCATTTATGTGAACTACATGTATGAATGTCAGAATGTTTGACTAAATTGGAGTAAGTTCTTAATTAACTTTATAATTTATAGAACGTACATGTAAGTAACAGTTGCACCGACTTTTGATTTTTGATTTTGTTTTATGAAATATAAATGGAAGAATTTTGGCAATAGAAAAAGATGTTTTGGAGAAATTATTATAAATGTATTAAATACTAGATCTATCTTCTTTTTTTTTCTTCCGGTCTTAGTGCTTATGTATCACTTCAACTATTATTATAATATGAATTAAGGTATTAGTAGTCGCTTTTTAATTCGTTCAAATTAACGATTGGGAGGGGGGCATTTGAATTTAATCTGTATAAGCATTCTCGTCTTTTAATCAAGAAAATTTCTTATTAAAAATGTATTTTTTCTATCCTTCCTAAATCGCATTAAAAAGTGTTATTTGTAATTAAGAAAATCAGATAATTGAAAGAGCTAAACATTGAGAAAGATCGGTTTTTCAATCTAGATTTCGGTAACAAATGTTAGGAACTTTCAATTATATGCCGAAATAAAACAAAACTTTTCCTCAAGATAGAAAAGAACTAAAATTTTTTTTACTAAATTCATGTCCATGTTTTTGTGAATAAAAAGACCGGAAGCATGCCCCCTCCCTCTGGGAAAAAAGGAAACAATTATTCCGGAATTTGCACGATTTGTAAAATTTTGAAGCCTCTGTGTCAGATGACTGGGACACTCAATGACATTTTTGCACGCTGTTCCCAGGTCCATCATATGTTCACAGATTTGTCTCCCCTTTGTGCTCTTCCCTATTGCAGGCCTGACTGACAAGTTTATGGAGGTCTGATGACACGGGACTGATCTGTCCAGTCAACCACTACTACCGACCTGTTGTTAATTGTCGTTCTATAGCATGTTTAACGACATTGCCGGTCAGTTTATGGCAGACTAATTGATAATTTGCTATGCGTCGAAAAACTGCAAAAAGAGATTTTTTTCATAATACAGGGCTTCTGTATTTTATTTTAAGTTGCGGAAGAACACTGTTTTAAAACTGAATGTACGTAACTTCGACTAGTTTTTAACAATTAAAAATAATTAATAATATAATCTCAATATCAGTAACAAAGATATATATTGCCACTTATCAAAACCAAAAAAAAGGAGAGACATAAACTGTTCTTAAAAATCATGTTTCTTTTACAATACGAACCAACATAGGTGTGCCATATGTAATTCAAGTATTAATATTATGTTCAAATGTTTATAAATCATCGAAAAAAAAAATCAAACAGTAAATTTATCCATTCTATTCTGCTCTTTTGGCTAATATATATACATGATATACAACATTAGGTAAGGGGGGAAATAAAAGAATATTTTTGAAATTTATTTATTTTTTTTTTTTTTTTTTTTTTTTTTTTATAAAAAAGGGGGTATATATAAATCAGAATTTATGATTAAGAGCTGAAGTTTCAATTGATGTCTACCTCCTACTGAGTATAACTATCGTAGTCAAGGATATTTTATCTATTTTTCTTTCTTTCTTTATTTTCTAAAATTTATTTGCCTATTTTTCTATGTCCTTTCGTATCATCATGAAGAAAATTACCCTGTACCCACTAAATAGCTGTTGTGCCTTAAGGTTCTCGATACATATTGTCGACATTTACTACGTCTTTTGTTTCATATCAGCATACATTTTTATATAAAATAAATATAAACAGATCCAACTATAAAGATTTTAACAGAACGATAATTTTTGTCCCCTAGCAAATATTTAAGCAATCAGTTATCTTTATAATCAGAGGGTACAGCTGTTCTTGTAAACCATACAAGAAAAAAAAGGAATTTGCATAAACTATCTTTAGATAGATTTTGTTTTTCTTCCTTTAAAAAGGGTGCTTTTTATGTTTTTTACATAGAAGTATCATTGTTCAATTGTTTTACGGTGTTCTTGTAGTAAAACCAACTGGTTAAAAGTTGAGAATAAGAGTATTTCTTTTGCAAATTAATTTGTAAGAATGTGAACTGAGAAATTTGCATTGAATTTGATCCAGTTAGCTGAATGTTGTTTTATCAAGTCAGTATATATTATATATTACACAAGGGAATCGTTCAACCTATTCACTCGGGTCCTTGTTCGAATGATACGAACGAGTACAAATGTAGAAATAGAACAGAAAAAAAAATTAATTTAAGAAAATTGAGAATAATTGTGTGTTATAAATATGTAAAAATGTATGGTTTTAAGCCCGAAAAACAACTTACATTTCAGCATACTTTAAAATCACATATTTTCGTGGGGTCAGATTTTCAAGGTTTGAGGAAAAAATATTTGTTTGTGGGGATTTGATGTCATGGTTGGAGAGGTGATGATTAGTAATGAATATGAACTTTTACATTTCGTGGTGGACATGAATTCGGGGGCTCTTAATACCCCGAAAACAACGAAAATTAAACCCTCATGAAAATTAGTGATTTCATAGTATTTTATTTTTGTGTGAATTTGTTTCGGCTGAAGACTGAAATAGTGCTAAACAGGACGATGCTTGGCTCTCGTTGAAGAGAGTTCAAATGAATGTACCTAATGATGCCTTATAGAACGCTTCAGCTGCCCTATGTGGATAACATTCGTGTTGTGTTGATACGTCTGCATTATTGGCGATACTTTAACATTATTTGCTGATTCTTTGGCACAAAATGCTGATACTTTGGCGTTATATGCTGATACTTTGGCATTATATGCTGATACTTTAACATTATATGCTGATACTTTGGCATTAAATGCTGATGCTTTACATTATATGCTGATACTTTAAAATAATATGCTGATACTTTGTCTTTCTTCATTATATGGTAATACTTTGCCTTTATTTGCTAACACTTCCTCATATGCTGATACTTGGATTTGATATGCCAATACTTCTTCATTGTATTCTGATACTTTGTCCTCAAATGCTGATATTCATTATATACTGATACTTTGACACTATATACTGATACTTTGACATTATTTGCTGATTATATGACCAATATTTAAAATATGAAGATCATGGGTCATTTTCTGATGAAATTGATTACATTTTGGTGAAATGTATTAAACCGAAACTTCCTGAAAGGAAATCAGGGGGCACATTTCAATATGTGTAGAGAACAAGTTGCATGCTTTATGAGAAACTGGGTTTGCAACATGCTTACGAACATTCTGAAAGGTGAAAATTACGCCAGATATTGTTTGTCCAAGAACATGGAGTAAATATATTTCAAATAAAACCGAAATGATGTATCTTATAATCGATTGGATCTCAAAATATTTTGACCATTCAGGGGAATTTGTTTTATTAAATCTCGAAATCTCATTTTCAAGATCATCTTCATTTATTTATAAAAACTCGCTTTTTACTCACTTTGAAAAGTACCATTCTACGACAAATTGTTCTCTCAGAGTTGAGCAATGTCAATAATCTGAGAGTAAATTTCAAGCAAATTCTCTATAGTCGACTGTGGAATATCAAACATGTCTACATTACAATGAATTCGGTTTGGTAAATATTCACAATATTTAACAGAGTCGATTCTATGTTTCATCTTCTCGACTTTACTTGAATTACCAACATCTTAAAATTCCTTGAAATAAGCTTGCAAATAATATCTGGGCTAGGTTTTCATTTTCGAAATATTTATAATCATATTGCAACCCCAGGTTCTCCAATAAATGCAACATATTTTCCAAACGTGCTGAAATAAACCTCCGTTTTTGGTTCTTTAAGTTTTGGTTTTAAACAGTTCAAGCAATTATTATAAATTTCATCAGAAAATATCAATTAATCAACACATTATAAAGTTTCATTATAAAATGAAAATGTGTCAGCATATACGTAATGTCAAAGTATCAAAACATAATAACGTCAACATACTATCATAAAATGAAGAAGTTTCAACATCTAAAGACAACTATCAGCAGAAAATGATGAGTCATCAACCTACAATGAAGAAGTACGCATCAGAGTATTAGTACATAATGAAGAAATATTAGCATATAACGAAGATGTATCAGTCTATAAAAACAAAGTATTAGCATATAATGAAGAAATATTAGCATATAACGAAGATGTATCAGTCTATAAAAACAAAGTATTAGTATATAATGAAGAAATATTAGCATATAACGAAGAAGTATCAGTCTATAAAAACAAAGTATTAGCATATAATGAAGAAATATTAGCATATAACGAAGAAGCATCAGCCTACAAAAACAAAGTATTAGCATATAATGAAGAAATATTAGCATATAACGAAGAAGCATCAGCCTACAAAAACAAAGTATTAGCATATAATGAAGAAATATTAGCATATAACGAAGAAGCATCAGCCTACAAAAACAAAGTATTAGCATATAATGAAGAAATATTAGCATATAACGAAGATGTATCAGTCTACAAAAACAAAGTATTAGCATATAATGAAGAAATATTAGCATATAACGAAGATGTATCAGTCTATAAAAACAAAGTATTAGCATATAATGAAGAAATATCAGCATTTATTGTATACACATTATAATGTTGAAGTATCAGCAAAGAATAAAACAATACTAGCTTATAAAGAAAAGGTATTAGCATATGATACAGAAATATCAGCATGTAATGTATGAGTGTATAAACACATTATGTCAAACTGTCAGTTTTTACTGAAGAAGTGGCGGTATAAAATGAGGAAGTTTAGAAAGTGTTAAAAAAAAGACAAAGTATTAGCATATCACGAAGAACTATCATCACAAAATGAATGTTACCTACATACATGTAAGGCAGTTGACCATAAAGTTGAGTTTTTATTTTCGAGAGAGAGAAGAGGTGGGGATGTAGCTCTTTAAAGTAAAAGATTCTTAAAGTACAACTCAAAAAAATGTTCTCGTACAATTTTCATTTATAGCTTAAACAATCTCGCTTTCAGAAATCTCTCGATGTTGCTGAATGGAAAAGAAAACAAAATACATAACTGTGCCATGGAGTAAGTTATTCCAAGACGTCATTTCTGATAGTATCGTTATTTGAGTTCTTGTGTATTGTACAAAAATGTATTTAGAGTTTATAAGATCGAAATAGCTGATAATTAGAGACAACGAATTTATAAACAACGTACGGCAACAATGCCTTCCTCTATGCCAATGTTTTGCATTAGTTTCTTTATTGAATTTAGTAAGAGATTCAAACAAAATAAAGGAACAAAGAAATTCATGGTGGTCTTTGTTGAAACATTTTCAGATGATAAACAGAAGAAAGGCGCCGTGAGGATGGAGGGTGAACCCGAGTGGATCAGCCGTATGGCAGAGGACCAGGTGATTATTAGGCAGTCCAGTGGGGAGGAGGCAGACCGATCCTCCAGTGAGGGGGGTCCTGAGGACGACTCGGTAAGTATCTGATTGCAAAGGTAAAAAAATCTGAAAACCAAGAGGAAGGATTGGTGAAATTTACCAAAGTAGCAAGATATTCAAAAGGTTTTGTTCCCAAGGAAAGACAAAAGACCATTTTATCACGTGTCTGTATTTCATAAAAGAAACAAAATACACAGAAGGGCGATTAAATTTGGTTATAGTCTTGAAAGACACAGCCAGGACTGGCTATAAGAGTTGCAGACAATAATAGTAAGAATCGGTCCGAATCATTCACAGGGTTTTTCTCTAAAGGTCTAATCGGAACCTTAGAATAGTTCAAAATATTCTGAATAAGCAGAGGAAAAGCTGTAGCAATAGTTTTAAGGAATTATAAATTTTATGAGCTAATTTAAGCAGGAATACAGGCATTAGGGTGCAAGGCAAAGGAATAAGAATATTAGAATAATAGCCAGAATAAATTACAAATCCATAAATGACTGACTTTAAAAGTACGGTATGCCCTAAAGGTTTTATCTTCAATTTTAGTAAGAGAAAGTAAAGATATTACAATCTTTCCAGAAATAGCAGCATATAATTCTTGATAATAAGGTCGTATTGTACAAAATTGTACATTATCCAAAATTGAGACTTTCAGTTTTGGACTTAAAGTAGAAATATCTACCTTATAATTTGTGAGGGGAAATATAGGTAGAGAAAAAGAGGCAATGAAATAAGGACACGAAGAATGCCAAGTGCGTAGCAGAGCATCGCATGCATGACAGAAACAGCCATTATACCGTGGTCGTATTATCTGATTGACCAGGTGTAACGGATTGATGACCAGTCCATTTGTGTTCGATAAAGTATCCCTCTGAGATGCTTCTTGACACATTAAATTTCCATTACTTCAATCAAAATACAGTACAGTAGAAATTTAGGATATTCAGAAGAATTCTGTATGAATTAATTTCTAATGAATAATTCCTTCCAGCAAGTTAGGATTTAATATCAATAGTATGTATGTAAAAGTTTATCATGGGGACAAAATACGTAGACAGAGATGAAATGCTTGATTTTTTTTTCTTGATATTTACTGTAAAATATATGAATATGATCTTGTGAGATTAAGATACATTATTGATGATTATTTTTTTAACGCCTTTAACCAAATGAAATGAGAAAAATAGATCGTCATCAAAACTTTTTTACTCAAGCGAACAGTGAAATTTTTTTTCAAGTCATTTTAAATGTCATAATGTCAATACATATATTTGAATGAAGAAAAATAAAAAAAACAAGTATTTTGCTTCCTCACTAGTAATTATTATGTTTTGTTTTGTTTTGTTATTTAATTCATTTTCATTTTTTTCTTTTCTTTTTTACTTTAATTGAATTGAAAGACGAATTAAAGGAGCAAGTCTTTCAAGATGATTTTTGTTTCTTTTTAAAAAGGAACGTTTTGAATATTGGTTTTAAAAATATTAGAAATGCTAGTACCTGTCTCATGGTATAATTGATAAAATTTCTAAATATTTAAAGAATTTCTAAATTTTCTGTCCAAGCAATCCAATACTTACTGATATCTTATAAACTTTTTCCCGCATTTCAACGAACAGTCACTGAAACTGTTAACACAGATTTCTATGCTAAAATTTTCGCCTCTGAAGCGATCAGAAATGATTTGAATAATGTTCACTGTTTCATTTAACTTTTTTGGAGATGAATAAAACTTTAATAGCTAATTAATTTTCATGCTGATCTAAATAAATTCATTGACTTCAATATGACTTTAAGCTTCTGTTCCTTTTCGAACCAACTTTTTAAAGGGAGACTTATAATGATCAATTGTTAACTTTTATGAATAAGAGTTAAACCGTGTTAATATAATGTATAAAAGAATGACAACTGTCTTTTTATTTCAGCCTGGAATCATTCATTTCGACGATGATAAGTTTGGAAATGTGACAGTGTACAATAATTTTTCTCGGCATCACATTGCGGACAAATCCGTAAATTCGGAATACTTGAATGTGAGCAAAAAGTACAAGGTGAACGGACACAATTCAGATACACTCCATCATAGTGGGCAGTCACACAAAGTGCATTATGCGGACAATGTTGGAATTATTTCAAACAAAAACTCTCCTCCCAGTTCGATTAATGAGCTGGATAAAAAGACACAGAAAGAATTAAGGCGGAGGAGGCGCCGTCGAATTTGTACAGTTATTCTTCTGTTATTCCTGGCTTTAATCATCGGGTTCGGGATCGGACTCCTAGTGTACTTTTTGCTTCTGAATGGTGAGTTGAACACAACTTGAACATTACTTAAAAACTGATTCTTCAATCAATTACTACATGATGAAATATCTCTTATTAGAGCAACTTATCTTTTTTCCAAGTGTATTCTAGTAATTTTATTGCTTTTTAGTTTATATTAATACTTATTTTACAAATATCAAAGGGTAAGTCACCTTAAAGATATACAATATTGCTGGTGTTCAGTATTATTTTATGATGCAAATACATGAGAATGCGTTTCGGAAGCAATTGCACCTTAACCATATCGTCATTTTTCTCGAGAAGTTTGTCACACCAGAATTAACTCTATAAAGGTTATTGATCCAATCAGACTAAGAGTTTTTATGGAAAATTAAATAGAATTACAATGTCGACTTAAAAATTGCATCCCTTTACTTCTAGAAAAGGCTATGACTTTTTTTACAATTAAAATTCCAAAAAATATATTTCTAGAAATCGATCCCATTTCCATTTAATTTTCTTTTTTTTAAGTATAAATTAGTTGAGAAGAAAAAGAAAGAGTTAAATATGACTCCCCATTTGACATACAAGATCAAATCAAAGTTAGGTAATATTCTGGGAGCTTGTAAATGAATGTATATGCATAAATGACGTCCAAATCTTTGTTTTAATTCGTAAAGCACAAAGGAGCCACAGTTGGTCGATGAATATTTTCAAAGTTTTAAAGATTTTTCATTAAATTCAAAGTATTTATTCTTTTGGGAAACTCAGAGCGCAAACAGTTCCATTATTTTATCAGTGCATACATCAGTGCGAACATTTTGATAGTTAGGTTAACTTGGGCTATGTTTCTTAAACAAAACGAAACAAAGAAAATTTATTAAGGTTTATAAATGCAGAAAACGGAAAAACATCTTACCTTTTGTGACCTTTTTAGATCATTACTTACTTTAAAACAAACATGATCGTCAGAGATTGATCATAGAATATCTGGCTGATCTGAAAGTAATCCAACAGATGGGTCAACTTTGTAATTTGCTTATCTTGTTCTTTCACTATTATATATTCGGGTGAAGAATTTAGGCATTAATTTTCAAATTTTATAAATAATTTAATATAAATTCCTTTTTATTCTGTGATAATTTTGATTTCAGAAGGAACAGGCAATTCTTTACAAGAAGCTCAGAAAGGTTGGTAATTCAAATCCATTTTGCATCAATACCTACACTTGAGTAACATCTTTTAAAAAGTTAATGCTAAACTTAATCCCATCCATCAAAAGTTAGTGGACTTCAAAAAGTATTAAATCATTAATTGTACATGTATTTACCTTACAGATTCCGTCATAGTGAAGCTTACCTTACCAATTCTAAATGAAACCTTTACATCAGAAATGGATGACATCAATTCGGACGATTTTCGGAGAATATCAAAACCACTCTGTGAGGAGGTAATGTAACACATTAGCTACGTGGACTGCAATGATAAAAATTTTGGCTTAATAAGAAGTAATGTATTTATATTTTCTGTGAGGGAAAAAATCACCCTTTTACTCAGTTTACTTACTATTATACTGATTCATTTGTTTATCGATATTCATCCACAATACGTAAAATACACGAAAGAAAAACAAAACAATAGTCTAAACCATGTATAATTTGAAATTTTGTTTTTCAGATGGAATTTTATTTTCAACACGAACGTGGATTTGTTATGTGCAACGTCCGAACAATAAGGTAACAAATTGCAGTGTATACATACAAAATGATGTTTATTGAAATAATACATTAAGACTGAGTGATCCAGCATTTAAAGATTTCCTTCATCATATTTGTACAGAAATGTGACAAGATCTATAGAGTGTAAATGCCAGTCTACTACACAGTAAGTATTTTCATACGTACGTAGATTCTGTAAAGTCTTTAGTTCAACTTCGTTGCATTATACTATACCAAAATGAATGCCTCTTTTTTATCTTTCATGTCCTAATTCATCTAAAAGAAAGAACTTGTGCCCAAATATTACTTAGGTTCATGCATGTTAGTCTTTGACGAACTAAACAAGTTTGTCTCATGTAAATCGATAAGTTAGCAGAAAGAAACCAAACAATGGTTGAATGAATAGTTGATACACAATTCAAAATTTATGGAAAAGATTATACAATATCAAAGACTTGCTAGTTAAGGTACATCTCTCGTCACCTTTTGAAAAAGTTTGGTCAGATCTTCAAAATTATTTAATAGAATTTCATTTCTATAATAAATTTGAATTAAACAATGTAAATTCTATAATATTCAATTAAAGAAATGCTCACAAAATCGACAAGAAATAAGATTTATAATGGACTATTTCTTGTAGTGGAAGGATATTTAGAAAAAAAATCTCAAAAGCTACACTTCTGCTTTATTCTATATGTGGAAACTTTGACCTTAAATGTTTTACTCATACAATATTACATTATTATAAGCTAAAAATATCGACGTAGGCTTCAAATGATACTTTTAAACAAATTTTTCACATTTTTAAACAAACTTTGCCTAAAATTGCAGATATATTTGAACAAGTAACGAAAAGAATAAACCTTGTTTTTAGCCTGAAATTTACATATTTTGACTCATATCTCAAAATTTACATTACTTTTATTTCACTTTTTGAAATTGCACAATACTTTCGACCATTCAGCAGTCAACTTATATATATTAAGCTTGATATAAGAACGTATTTTATTGCATGTTTAGAACTTTAAATACCCAGATATGATATTTTATTTGTACAAAAGAGGTCACACAAGAATTGAATCGCATTAATTTGTAATATTTTTTTTTAATAAGAAGAATTACTTAAACTAATTTGCATAGAGTAGATTATATTTATTGCTTTTATTGCATCCGGTAGAATATTATTAAGTATAAAGTGATTTCCCTACAAGTTACAATTTAATTACAAAAAATGTCAAATTAATTGTATCGTTGCTCGGTAAGATGCACACTGATCCCCATTTTTTTTTTTTTAGTTATGTTAAACAAATCAGATATCTACAATATATCTTTCAAAATACTTTGATATAACCAGTGTTAGGAGTGTCTTATCTTAAATGAAATTAATTGTCACTTGCAGTAAAACTGGTCCCTCGTCCTTGGAAGTAGGCGTGGATCTAACATTCCTGGAATCAATGCGGGGAGATGACATTCTTAAAATACTTGACACAAAGGCCAAAAAGTTGTACTTTGATGGATTTGAAGTTGTCTTAATAAGAAATTTCATCGTGGATATTAAAGGAAACGGTCAAAATGGTAAGATATCAACATGCAGGGCATAATGAATCAGAAAATAATGAATTGGGTAAAATTCTTAATGTATCTAGTTGAATATTATTCAATATACTCACCCAGTTATGTAATGTTTAGATGCTTGTCTACCATCACCATGTCAGAACAATGGGATCTGCTCAACTACAGATGATGGAGATCTAAACTGCGCATGCCCAAGTGGATGGACAGGAAGTCGATGTGAAATTGGTGTGTTAATTTCAAAGTCTGCATTTAATCAAGAACAAATTAAAGATATGCAAATACTAGTCCTTCATTTATTTAACATACATGTATATATCTGTATATTTAATAGACGTCAACACATGCTTACAATTTCCTTGCGGAAACAATGGCGCCTGCCAGGAGAAGCTTGGAGAAGATTCATGCATATGCAAACGAGGCTGGAATGGGCGACAATGTGAACTGGGTAAATTAAATAATAACATGTGATAATTATTCGTACTAAAGAGAAACATGTTTGCATTGCTGAACAGTTTTAGTATTTATGCAGACGTACTTGTACTGAAGCCGATTTAGGAACTAATCACAAATATCTTTTTGAATTCGACTGAACAGATTTGTCAAATTTGTTAAAACAATTTAATTCGTTTGTAACAAATTTTTGAAACGTTAAAATGAAATAAGAAGATAAGGAACAGTATTCAATCTCAGTCCAATGAAACGACACAAATTTGGAGCAGAGCAAACACGGACCTCAAAAATTAGACGTGGGATCAGGTGCCATGGAGGAGTAAGCATCCCCTGTCGACCGGTCACACCCGCGGTGTGCTCCTTGTCATGATCGGGAAACAAAAACCGGAAAAATTCGTAGACAGTTCAGTGCAAAGAAATTCCATCCCATTAAAAATTTCTTGAATTATTTTTAACATATTGTAATATTTGTTATGTTGAATTAGATTTGAATTAAGGAATTTCAGGATTCATAATTTTTAATATTGTTTCCGATTGTTTGTAAGAGTTTGTAAAAATTAATATGTAATGGTTCATTTCTCTCCAGTTTGTGACAAAGACGGCAAATTATGTGAGAACATTTTAAATAATTTAAAATTTTTGTGTTTTATATCCATCATTAAAGTGTGTAATGTGTAACTCTGTTATAAGCAAGACGTATGTTTACAAAAACATATCCAGAAGATTTTTTAATTATAGTTATACTGGACTGAAAATTGAAATAACAGTATCCATATCTCCCTTTGAAAAGTGGGGATATATTGCAATTTTTAAAAATTCTTTAAAACGAATTGAACAGTTCGTCATATCGAATTAAAAAATATTTTTGATTGACATTAAATGGGCTTCCTTATATTTCGATGACTACATTGATTTAAAAACCAATTTCTCCAACAGCAGGAATGCTGTATTTATTTTTATCATATTATAATATTTTTTCTGTTCTTTGTTGTCATCTCATTTTCATCAAAGTTTAGGCTTGTGATGTATTTGGTGATAAAAGTATCATGATTTTCTACAAAATAGAACTTTGCTAATTTTACAGACGTGGACGAGTGTTTGGACACTCCCTGTAAAAATGGCGGGACTTGTGTCAATACGGACGGCTCGTTTTACTGCACGTGTCCAGCATCCTGGGAAGGGACATTCTGCGATATCGGTACATATAAACAATTTATCAACAACTTTAAAAATTTCTAAATATTATGTAAAAATAAATAATTACTCTGTAAACTTAAAATTTTATTTAAAATCTATTATACAGTAAATACATTGAATTAACTATATATTTTATGATGTGTATGATTGTATTTGTTTCCAGATATCGATGATTGTAAGAGGTTTCCATGCCAACATGGTGGGACGTGTATCAATGACATCGGATTTTACAATTGTACATGTATCCCCGGCTGGACAGGGAAGAACTGCAATCAAGGTGATGTTACACTTAAAGGAGTTAAAATTTTAATTGATTTGAAGATAGGGCATGAAATTAAAAAAAAAAGCAATACTTACCCCAACTACACACGGATATGATTTCCTTGTCTGAAATTAAGGCTAAAACTTCTAATAAATGACATTAAATACTATAAAGTATTCTTCTATACTCTATAGTTCAAAATGTGGAGGAATAAAAAAAAGTTCAGATATTTTAATCTTAACCATATTTATGGAAGTCTTTATATTGCATTCAGATATTTTGCTTCATTCCACTCTTTTGCCATCAAGAAATACTAATTGTTCAGATGCTTTGCTATTTGATAAGCCATCAGAAGACCACACAGTGTTATTTCTTTTCCAGTTTCAATCCTACAGACCGTTTACTGCTATCCTACTTTGCCAGTTTCATAAAAACGCTATATATACATACTTTGAAAGACACGTATATTAATGTTCGTAATGCTATGTAAACTATTTTTGGCTCAAGGAATGTTGAAAAAAAGATACATCTTTTCTTAATTAACATTATTTCCTTTCTAGACGTTGACGAATGTGGCTTGGCCCCGTGTCGTAATGGAGGGACATGTGTCAATACACCTGGGTCATACCTATGTACCTGTGACGCGGGATGGCTCGGCAAATATTGTGATGTCGGTAGGTTAATAATTATTTTTGCCATGGTTTTGACATGGTTTCCCACAAATTGAGTAAACACTAAATAATCATAATAATGATGACGTATATTACAAAATCAATTTATGAAGTTATCAATGTAATGTTTACATACTGTTTAACTCGAACATTTTCATTTGTAAATCTCAAATAAAAGCATATAACTGAAAAGTTTTCATGTTTTCATTTTCATTTGTAAATTCAAATCTAAATACATATAAACCAAAATTTTTTTTACAATTTCTATTAACATTTTCTTATCAGGGATTGATAAAATAATCTTTAAGAACTAAAAATATCATATTTTCTTTTATTATTCACAAGACGTTGACGAATGCATCAATTTTCCTTGTCAACGTGGTGGCATTTGTCGCAATACTAATGGATCCTATAGTTGCGCTTGTCCAGAAGGATGGGAGGGTCCAAACTGCGAATATGGTAAAAAAAAAAAGATGGACTCAGAACTAATTGTTTGTTACATATTTTGCATCAAATCAATAGAATGTTGTACATAAATGAAATTTAAATAGGCTCTAAAAGAATCACTTCTTTTAAGCAAGAAATCTGCTGTATCTGTGCTTATAGTGAAAATTGTTTTACTGTATTTGACAATTCTTGCGCTTTCTTAAAAAATATACATGTTATTTACTCACTTTAAGAGTTCTTTGATTCTGAAATCTTGGATTTTAGATACCAATGAATGTCAGTCTAACCCTTGTCTTAATGGTGGTTTCTGTGAAAATACCAACGGATTTTATCAGTGCCGGTGTGCTGAAGGATGGATGGGCCAAAACTGTCATATAGGTATTCATTAGATTAAAAAAAAATCAGTAGTTAAGCAAAATAGAAAGACAATTATGTTTCAATTCTGAGTAGTTTATCCTTTTGATAAACTCTCAAACATTGCCAATAGCTTTGAAAAGTTGAAGAAAAGTAGTGCCCTATGGCAGCAAATCATTATGTATTAAGAATTTGATGAGGATCCAAAAAATAATTAGATGCAGAATTTTTAAGGTCAGGCACACTAAAAGACAGGGAGAAATGGAGAAAACAAGTACTCCAGAATTGTTCTTAGCCATACCTAGTTTTATAACATATTGTACGAATTAAGGTGTTTGAATGAATGATTTCTCTTTAAGTTCCCTCAAATTGAAAAATGTTAAGAATAAAAATGCACATTGCATCTTCTAATGTACTTACCTAACTAATGTAATGATTTATCATACAGATGTCGACGAATGTCTTCAGTTCCCTTGTCAACACGGTGGACTGTGCCGTAATCTGAATGGGTCTTACTTCTGCGACTGTCCGGCGGGATGGATTGGACCGCACTGTCAGTTTGGTAGGTTTTTGACTCCAGACTTTTCAACCATTTTCCTTGTATTAAGCAGTATAATTTCTTAACGTAGCAGTTGATAAGACATTATTTAATTTTTTATAAAAAATGTTTGGGATAGACGTGAATATTTGTAAATTAAAGATTAAATGTTAATATCCATTAGAGAGGGGTATTGATGTACATGTTTAGTGTAGTGATAATGTATAACGAAAAACAAATTTTTAACTATAGTTGTGTAATAATTTATTTAAAAAATAAAAAATAATAAATAAAATCATATCAATGTAACCATACCGGTAAATGTTACCACCTATAATTTAACGTTAACTTTAGATGTCGACGAATGTTTGCGTTCTCCATGTTCAAACAAAGCTGTATGTGTCAATGATAACGGATCCTACCGTTGTGTTTGCCCTGGTGGGCTTACAGGACAAAACTGTGATTTCGGTAGGTATTCTCATTTTATGCTCCGATTTTTTCTTATTTTTTGATTTTTTTTAAACTTTCCCTTTCTTTGCTTTTCCTTGGATAAAAATTTATTTACAAAAATAAACTTTTATCATGACGACTTACATTCGTCAGTATAATTTTATTTGCATCCTTTTTGTATTGTATATAATTATCAAATTTTCAGATATAAATGAATGTGTTTCGTCTCCTTGCCAACACAATGGAACATGTACAAATACAGTTGGATCTTATTCTTGCACATGTTTACCTGGATTTTCTGGAAAACACTGTGAGAATGGTGGGTACACAAACTTGCTTTAGATTATGAAGGACAACTTGAAGCTTTATTTTCTACTTCAAACAAAACTATAACATACTGTACGTGTACATAAATTGGCGTATTCAAAATTTAGCGCAATCACTGGGTATGGAGTTGTTGGCGAAATCATGAATTAGCGCTATACATGTCCGTGCCTTTTATGGTATTTATAAATGATTTCTTAGCGGTATTCATGAATTAACGCATCGTTGTCTGCGCCAAAGCCGCTAAAATATGAAACCTGCTTTATTGAGTACACATACAGTATGCAATTATATAAAACTCTCTGAAATAACCTTTTAGGTTCCATCTGCTTACTTTTGTCAAATTAATTCTATTTTTAAAAGAAATTTATTAGCTTATTTTTAAAGTCCATTAACATATGATTTTATTTGTTTATGACACGCAACAAACTTACTCGCGAAATTTACAGAAAAGTTGTCGATGTCATAATAACCAGTACATGTACATGTATAAAGGTTGCTGCTAATTCAAGTTTGATATCAAGTACTAGTATTTGTTCTCTATCGCAATGAACCAAAAATAACCAATAATATAAAATTTGTGTGTCACAGAGTTGTCCAGTTGTTCTTCTCTCACCTGTTATAATGGTGGTACGTGTCAGGAGTCTGCCGGACAAGATACTTGTAAATGTTTGCCGGGCTGGACGGGAAACCAATGTCAATACGGTAATGACGTCATCATTTGATTTTGCCTTAAATTCAATAAAGAAATTTTTTAATTATTTCAAAGTAAATCAAATCGTCTCTATTTTTCTGAGGCCAGAAATGTGAAAGAAAATGTATGAGGCTTGCTCAAATACTTGTGTTAGCTATAAATATAAAATATTATATTTAATCTACCGTTACATTTTGTAAATTAGATTATTCTGAGTTGCAAAGCTCCTAATATATTATACAACGAGGAAGTGTGCAATATTTTAGACTAATTTTCTGAATTTTGTTTTTCTTTTTATTGTAAGATGTTAATGAATGCCAGCAAAATCCTTGCCATAATGGAGGTGTATGTAACAATATATTGGGATCCTATACTTGTACGTGTGCTGTGGGCTTTACAGGAACTGACTGTGTTCAAGGTATACATTCTTTTTCATTGATTAAGTACATGCAGATGTTTTCTACATACATGTATTTCATCGGAATGAATGTCTAAGCTCATTTTTAATTACACATTAAATTCATTATAATTTTCCTTTGTGTATTTTTTTTCTTTGGTTGTTCATAGATCTGTTTAAGAAATCTTCTGTACGAAATGATATAACAATTTTTTTTTCAAAAGTAAAAATAAAATTCACATTTTCCAGATTTGAATGAGTGCCTACAGAATCCTTGCTCCAACAGCCTCACATGTCAGAACATACCTGGGAGTTATACATGTGTTTGTAACCCCGGATGGACAGGTCAAAATTGTGACGTCGGTAGGTTTATTTGTTACCTGATGTGGATATCTTTACCTACAAATATACAGGTTACGTTATGCAGATTAAATTCATTGTGCGTAAGTTTTTGTTAAACTGTTTATCCATTTTTGAAATGATTACAGGTATGTTTGTTATGATCATAAAATAGTTTTCTTTCTCCAATTTAGAATACAGAATGCTTAGCAAATTTTCATATTGTTTTGTCAATTGTCATTGCAAAAAATTTGTCTTAAAGAGTTTTTATCACGTATCGAAATTTCTTAAAAATGAAACACTATTACAGGCCCGTAGGAGGCAATTTCAGTTGGGGGGGGGGGGGGCACAGCTAAACATTTTTCAGTTGACAGTTGAGGGGGCACTACCAAAAATTTCCTGACAAGCAGAAAAAAGGTCGTCAACTACCAAAATTTCCTTGAGAAGCCAAAAAATGGTCATCAGACTTTTTTTTTGTAAAGGGGCACAAGCATATAGTATCTATGTTTACTATAGTAATCTTTATATCGGCAGAATTATTGGGGGCACCCCCCTCCCGCCTGTCCCCCCCCCCCCCCGGTTCCTACGGCCATGTATTATATTCTTGAAACATATAAATATCGTTTAATTATGAAATAATGTTGAAAACGGTCGTAATTAGACGATAAAACGCCCGTAATATAGGATCCTCGAAGTAAAAATCTCCACTAATTAGATGGGGTCACGTGGTACTGAAACGTCATAGGTGTCAATCTTCAATAGAACTCGTAAAGCTTATCGTAAGCAAAGATTTTTACGCTAAATGAATAGAATACACAATATATGGCTGGTTGAAATTTTGACATCGACTATGTTCCTTTGGTTATGGACGGTCAGTCTTTTATTGTATGAACTTCTAGCAGAAAGAAATAACCAGAAAATATGCCGACAATTAGAGAGGTCACCGAAGACGAAGCCGTTGACAACTCGGGACTTCGACTAAATAGAACGAATTACTAAAGTTTAACTTCGTAAATATTTATAAATATGGGAATTTTAAGTTCTCCTTCATTATTATTTTAATTAATTATATATAAATAAATCCTGTATATCTTCTATCTGTTCCAACAGTGAATATCATGTACTAGAAATGACACTTCTTCAATAGCACCTTACGCCAGTACGAAGTTCATAATATTCCTACTAGATTCTGTGCGACTTTTAAAAAAATGCGTGTTCATCATTTATTAATTTTTTTAAAGGTATTTTTCCTTAAAATATTTTATAGGACAGAAAAAATTCGTGATCGATCGGGCAGAAACGTTCTGAATGCAGAAAAAGGCCCCCCTTTCATCTCTCGACCAAGTCCAGGAAATGTGGGAAAAAAAATTCTTCCCCAAACCTTTCTTGTGCACATTTGTGCATCCTAAAGCTTTAAATTATACCTTACTAGCTGTCAATATCCAATTATCCCTTAATTATTTTCTAACAGGTTTAAAAAACACAACAAATGAGCCCTTTTGTATACAAAATAAGTACTTCGCTTTTCCAGGATTGACACCTACGACGTCAGAGCAATGGCGCGTAACATCGGCGATCAAAATATGCATTCTGAGAAATTCAAATTTTGAATCGCTATTTTGGGACGTGATAAAAACCCTTTAAGCTACATATTGACCATTAGAACGTGTATTTAATTAATTATACGTCTTTTAACATAATGTCATTAATGCAAAAAGGAAATTGTCATTCTTCAGATTAATTCATGTTTTATTTTTAAGGTGAAAGAGTGGTATTACATTTTACACAATACAACATATTTTAGTATATTGAACGGTCCATTATTGCTCAACAATCGACAAGTATTGGGACCAAAATATATAAATAAGTTGAAAAACGCAAAATTGAATACTATAGATCAAAAGAAAGTATTGTGACTAGCTACACAGTTTAGAAATGTCACAATTATAAAATGCTTCTATACAACCTTTTTCTCTCTTTTCTCCATAAGATATTAATGAATGTCTACTGAATCCTTGCCAAAACCTGAGTCCCTGTAGCAACACACTTGGTTCTTACACGTGTTCATGTTCACCACAATGGACAGGACAAGATTGTAATATCGGTAATGAATAACATTTCATATGTTCTTGCTTCATATTTTTGCGAAAAAGTAGTGCTTTGAATTTAAAGCAATATTTATTTTATGATTAATTTCTATATATTAAGATAACACTATTTACAGATGTTAATGAATGTTTGTACCTACCTTGCCACCACGGAAGTAGGTGTGATAACTTTCAAGGAGGATATGTGTGCTCTTGCAAAAATGGCTGGACAGGAACAAACTGTGACATTGGTAGAACTTGCTTTAATTTCAAATACTCTTCAGAAAATCTCTCCATCCTCATCAGACAATTATAAAACGGCAAATATTCTTCCTTTTTCAGATGTTAATGAATGTGCAACATCGCCTTGTACCAATGGAGCTCAGTGTGTTAATACTGACGGCTCCTATGTATGTAATTGTCCTGCAGGGTGGACAGGCCCGTTGTGTAATAATGGTAATTTGATTTCTCTAGCACTCAACCAAACCTTTCTAGAGATTTGATGAAATAAACTTTGTAACATAGAGAGAGACTCAAAAAGATCATATACGTGTTCAAAAGCACCGTAAATATTTGTTTTTTGCATACGTTATGATATTTCAATGTCAGATATAATATAAGCTCAATAGGTTAACTATTTGTTTTAAAAATAAGGAGTAAAATTTTGTCACGTTTTTATTTCAACGTATTTAAAATTTTCTATGTTGATATATTTCACGTTGAATTTAATTTCACAGTCATTGAATTTCCGGGTATTAAATATTTCTTATTTTCATAATTGGTACTAGTAATTAAATACTAAAATATTACACGAAATTATTCATTGACTAGTTGTTATTGGTTGGTATTAACCTCGAGTTTCCCAATGATTTCCAATGATTAACTACTTTACTCTTTTGGAAAAGGAAAACGTGTTTTTTTTAAAACCGTATGGTATGTGGTTAATGTATTTGATATATAAATGCTACTGTGATGTCCACAATGTTCACAAAAGCTTATCATTCGCAGAAAATTCTTTGATTGCGAACATTGTGAAGTTAAAAATCACCGCAATATATTTTACTTTCACAGTTAAAATTTTAAATTAAATAATCATGCTTTTTTTCGTAAAACTTGCGTGTACACCCCATCATACTTACAAATATCAATATTTTACTTAGATGTGAATGAATGTGACCAGAATCCATGTCAACATGCCAGTGGGTGTGTCAATCGCCTTGGTAATTACAGTTGTCAATGCCTGCCAGGGTGGACTGGAGTCAACTGTGAATTAGGTAAAAATCACATTCAAAGAAATGTGTCGTTATGGTTCAAAATAATAAATAAATAATATGAAAAGAAAAGATATATGATTTCATTTTAGACTTCATTTTTCCCCTTACAAATGGCTACTTTTCAAAGCACGCTATAAAATGTCTTATTGTTGATAAGAAAATATCTTATAAACAAAAATAAAGCATATTGCTGAAAAATCCCAAAACTTTCCTTTTTTTAATGTGTTCTGAAAATATTTTAAAATTATTTCAGATATAGACGAATGTTTAACCTCCCCTTGTCAGAATGGAGGAGTTTGTGTGAACACAGACGGATCATATCGATGTTCCTGCAAAAGCGAATTCACCGGTCAACACTGTGAACAAGGTGAGGCCTGAGAAATAAAAAAAATGTGAAATAAAAACATCAATACCTTTGTCAAACAATACCGTTTAATGCTGATGTTAATTTTGTAGACTTAAATGAATGCCAGAACAATCCCTGTCAGAATGGGGTTTGTCTGAATACCAATGGAGGTTATTTCTGCTCGTGTTACTTAGGATGGACAGGGGTTCGCTGTGATATTGGTAAAGCATTTACCTATAGAAAAAAGTGCATGTAAAAGAATTTTGTTTCGATATTTGATGTGCATTTACGTAAATGGTTATTCAAGTCGAAAATCATGTCAGAAATACACAATGTTATTTTCTATTCAGAACATCTTCTCCTATTCTAGTCTGAATTTTCTTTTCTGTTTTCTTCTTTAAACGTTTAACAACATTTAAAGAGTAATTATAGTGAAATCGCATGCATTTGGTATAGAATATTTTGTTTTGATATTTTCAGATGTAAATGAGTGTTTGACAACGCCATGTGTGCACGGTTCTTGCAGTAATAACATCGGGTCATACACTTGTCAGTGCAACTCTGGGTGGACTGGAGCTAACTGTGATATCGGTAATGTCAAGTGTAATGCTGATAACCAGTGTATGATGACGATTTTCTTAGAAATAAATGTGTTGTCTAAATTATGAAATTTTCATGTACTTTTCAATTGTAGATATAAATGAATGTAACAATTTCCCCTGTGTTAACGGTACATGTAGCAACACCCAGGGGTCGTATCAGTGTAATTGCCATAGTGGCTGGAGGGGGAACAACTGTGATATAAGTATGTATATTGTCATATGAATAACAAAATATGTTCTCGGATAAATAACAAAAATTGCATTTAATTTAATTTTTGGAAACTAGGCTTCCAACAATCCGTTGGGATTACGAGGGACACTTAATGTGCTTCTTTATAAACCGACCTGGTTTTTTTAAAAATATTTTTAACGAAGCAGATATTCAAAAATTACTACATTTCTCAAAACCGATTCGATATGAAAGAGCATGTTCTAAGTAAGTTCAATGAATTGATGATACATGGCACTCAACTGTCGTTTGAATCAGCATTTCGCAATTTTATTTACGTCATCATGACCTTTTTTGCATATATTACAATCTAATGTTGGGTCGAATTTTGACCTTTTTTTGCATATGTACAATCTAATGTTGGGTCGAATTTTGACTGATATGTTTCATAACAGTTGTTAGACCATTGTTTTTATACTGATTACTTAGTTAACCTGATCAATACAGTGTAAACACGGCGGATGTGCCCGGTCGACAGGGGATACTTACTCCTCTTATCTCTGGTATTTACAGGGGTTCATGTTTTTGACCTCTTCACATTTCGTAATAATCACAAGATTTATGAGATTGATCATAATTCATTATCTTCATATTTTCGTTATTTATTTATATATTTATTCATTCGTTTTTGTATATGGTTATTTGTTGATTTTCCATTTCAAATCGTATTAGATGGGACCACATGAATCTATCTTTTAAAAAGACGATTAAAAAAGAAGTAATTTTAAATCAAAATAATACAACTTAAAGACATTAAACCAAAGTTCATCTTTTAAATTATGCAATGAAAGAGTTGCTCATATTTTATGCTAAATAGTTATTAATTTGTCAATGGAAAACATAGATATTTTGCGCAGAACTATCATTGGCATTGGGATAGAAATAGAAATGTCGATTTACTTTCAAACATAAGTCGAAGGAATAGCATATGAAAATAATTTAAACATCTTTCCTTTTTTTTAATTTACTTATCTTTGAATTCAGATATAAACGAGTGTACCTCCGGACCTTGCCAGAATGGTGGATTCTGCCAAGACCTACCTGGTTCCTATATCTGCAATTGTCCTGCAGGATGGACGGGGCAATTCTGTCATCTCGGTGTGTATACTAAGAATGATCATTTTTTCTAAACAAAGATTTAATTTTCAGTGTTTAAGATATACAATGTAAGTTGTACATTTTTGATCATCATTACATGTATCTAGGAGTTTCACTTGACAAATGCATGTACCTTAATAGAAAGGAAAGCGTTGCATCATTTAACTTTGCAAGGTAATCGACTATGAACACATTGAAATTGGAGGAAAGCTAAACGGTTGAAAGATGTATTTAAATTGATCCTACTCAATTGCAAGAAATGTCACTGACATTGGGTTCAGAAATACATGTTTTAATAGCATATACATTATCTTTCCTACAAAGGTTATCGTAATTTCGAATTTACCGTCAGTAACAACGCGATCTGCAATTCCATTTTTCTTGACATTTGTTTATTGTTGATAGACGTGGATGAGTGTCAATATGGCCCCTGTCAACATAGCTCGACCTGTTTGAATATTCCCGGAAGTTATAGATGTGATTGCACTCAGGGTTGGACTGGTCAAAACTGTGAAAGTGGTACGTTCCATTTCTCTTTTTTCAACATCTACGATATATATTATATTCATAAAGTGTCAGTCATCCTATTATCGAGAGAAACGTCTTATTTAGCTGTGTAATTTCACATATTAGTACTAATCAAGCAGTTTAAACATAAAGGTATCGAAAATATTTCGATTTAATGATAAAATTGATTTTTATACGATATACGGTATGTTGACAATACACCCCAAAATTAATGTACATGTAAAATGTTTTATTCCGGTACGAAATTGAATAATCTTCTTAAATATTAATAATAAAAAACAAAGCCCTAAAAAAAGCAAAACTTTAAAAGATATATGCATTATAAACTTTATAAAAATAGAATTTAGGGATTTTATCATTTGCTTACACGAATATGAGATACAGTGGTTGAAATTCTTTCCATGTGCACTTCAATTATGATTGCAGACGTGAATGAGTGTGAACAGTTCGTATGTCAAAATGGAGGATCCTGTTCCAACATAAATGGTTCCTACGCTTGTCAGTGTACAGACGGATGGACAGGATCACGTTGTGAGCAAGGTAATCGAGGTCTTGCAAGAGCATCATGGTAAAACAAAGATATACTAGCAAAATAATCCAGAAGATATATAACAGTGTGAGAGTTCTACTTCGACTTACCTGTTAAACTTTTAATTATCCCGCCATTCTAATAAGAAAAGTTCTCCATATTATCTCAAGTTTAAGAGCTGAAAGTGTTATTTATAGATTGGGGAAGTCAATATTTTTCTGTATTTTGTGAATGACAATGTTAATTACTCTTGTTAATGCAGACAGAAATGAATGTGCTGAAGGCAGATGTCAGCATAATGCTCAGTGTTTCAACACCGATGGATCATATGTTTGTATTTGTCCAAAGGAATGGCAAGGCTGGGACTGTGAAATTGGTAAAATAGCTTAAATTCCTTATAAAATAGAAAATTAAAGCAAAATCATGAGAAAACATGCAAAGTAAACATTTTGCCTTCGTTCAGATGTAGATGAATGTTTGACATCACCTTGTCTTAATGGTGCCACCTGCCAAAATCTTCCTGGATCGTATGTCTGTCAGTGCGCACAAGGCTGGACAGGACAACTTTGCCAGCAGGGTAATAAACTAAGAGAACTATCTTGACTCTTTTCCATTAATCGTTTTTACTCAGTGTATATAAACTTACAAATAATGTAACTTTACAGATGTTGACGATTGCTTGAGTTCTCCATGCCAAAACGGTGGTCTATGCCAAAATTCACAAGGAACTTATTCATGCACATGTAGAACTGGCTGGACTGGTATTCACTGTGAAACTGGTATGATATTTTTTTACTTTGAATATTTAACAAAAATATGCAAAGAATTAAAATCGAAGTATAATATTAATGTATCAATAATTTGCATAAAGGATAACGCACTGATAATTCAATATTAAATTCATTGCTATTTTCAGATATCAATGAATGTCTTGTGAACAATGTATGCCAAAATGGAGGCTTTTGTATCAATATAGCTGGCTCTTATCAATGCCAATGTCCCTCACAATGGACTGGAAATAATTGCGAAATTGATGTCAATGAATGTTTGAACAGCCCTTGTCTACATGGATCAGTATGTAACAATATCAATGGTTCCTACACCTGTGATTGTCGGCCAGGCTGGGCTGGAATACATTGTGAATCGGATATCAATGAATGTAACACCCCAGACCAATGTAAAAATGGAGGAACATGTTTAAATACTGAAGGCTCTTTTACCTGCAACTGTGTACAAGGATGGATTGGAGAAAGATGCCAAAATGATGTTGACGAATGTCTTTCTCGTCCTTGTATTCATGGTGGGACATGCATTAATACTGCAGGGTCTTATCAGTGTCAATGCCATCCTGGTTGGACAGGGTCTAACTGTGAACAAGATGTAAACGAATGTGCGAGTCAGTCAACTTGCTATAATGGTGGGCTTTGCACCAATACCCAGGGTTCCTTTTTCTGTACCTGTGGTGCTGGGTGGACTGGGAATGACTGCAGTCAGAATATTAATGAGTGTTTACAGAATCCCTGCCAGCACAATTCCACATGTATTGACTTGGAGGGCTACTATAAATGCCAGTGTAGCAATGGGTACGCTGGATACAATTGTGAATTGGACAAGAATGAATGCGATAATAACCCCTGTCTTCATCAGTCCACATGTATTAACCTGATGGGATCCTACATGTGTATTTGTCAAGCTGGATGGACTGGGCAAAACTGTAAATTGGGTAATGTTCAACACCTTTCATTTCAATAAAAGGGTTGAGTAATTGATAAAATACTTTATCTTGAAATGTCTAAGAAAACATGCACAAATCTGCTGTCTTGCAAATTGTTTTTTAAAAAAGAAAAGTAGGTAAATAAATCTTGTAGGACTATGATATTCTTGTGTTTGCTCGGTAAAAGATGGTTTCAGAAAGGAAGAACATCTTACTTCTCTTTTTGTTGAACAGGGTTTGAGGGATTTTGAAAATTGTGAGAATTATTTTCAATTGTTTTTCTTTCTTTAACAGACAGAGATGAGTGCAGTGGTAATCCTTGTCAGAATGGAGGGACTTGTATCAATAGTAATGGATCATACCAGTGCAGCTGCACTCCAGGCTGGACAGGAACAAATTGTACCAAAGGTGTCTAAAACTCCATTACAAAATAATTTTAAAAATATCAATTTTGATACTTGAACTTATATCTTAACATATAAAATCAGTTTGTTTATCAATGCAATAATTCGGTAAATTCAATTTGTAGAAACAGTAATGAAGTTTAATTCTTTGCAGATGTAGATGAATGTCAAGCAAATCCTTGTCGAAATGGAGGAACTTGCTTGAATACATATGGGTCGTATGTTTGTTCGTGTTCTTTAGGATGGACAGGGACCAATTGTGAAAATGGTAACCTACCTAAAATTAATTTTTATGAAAGACGTCTACAATCCTCCAAAATTTGTTGATAAATCACATATGAATTCGGAAAAAGTGCAAAATGTATCTTACGAGTTTTAGTGATGTATGAATCAATAAACTGATCCCATACCCTATTTGTTCTATCAATTTTACTTCAAACTGACGAAACGCGAATTAAAGATGACGCGAATAATAGTTGGTTTACAGTATTTGCAAAACTATAGAAAGAGATCTCAACTGTCTTTGTCCTTGTTTTGATAGAATTTCTTGTTTGTCTCCCTGATACTTGTTTGAATGGTGGGACATGCTATGACCGACCTGGTACTTTCTTCTGCGCCTGTCCTCCAGGCTTTACTGGCCAGAAATGTGAAGGAGGTATTGTAATTTTATAATTACGTTTTAAAACTTGATTTACTTTATTTAAAGATATGCTTAAAAAAGACAGAACCTCAGTTTTCTGTTATTTTGCTTGTTTTGTTTTTTTTTTTTTAAAAAAAAGACTTTTTTTCTTGTCAAAATCTGAACTTCTACAGGGGATTTAAAAGTTCTTTCTTTCGATTTCTCGGTTGACAAACTTTTCTTTTACATAGACATCAACGAATGTTTAGAGCCGCTGTCTTGTGTTCACGGCACATGCACCAATGGTTATGGTTCCTTTGTTTGCCAGTGTGAACAAGGATGGTCTGGCATTAATTGTGACATTGGTTAGTGTCAAAATAAAGGGAATATGACCAGCATTGTACGAGTGGTTATGCATTTTGCAGTTATTCATAACATCTCTTTTTTTTACATTGATTATTTAATTTGTAGGATGCTTCTATTTCCAATAAACTCGAGTTACACCCACAATCCCTTTTTTATTTAATAATTAAATATGAGATATTAATCTTTAATAGTATAGTTTTATTTTTATAGATGTTAATGAATGCTTGTCAACACCTTGTAAAAATGGAGGAACATGTCTAAATATGGCCGGGTCTTATTCATGTGCTTGCGCACAGGGATGGAGAGGTCGAAATTGTTCAGAAGGTACACGATCTTCTTGATTTGATTTTAAAGATGTTAGACCCTCACGGTGCGTGCTTTCTTGAATTAATGTCCATTTAAAATATATGGGCTCTTCTTTTGAAACAGATATTGATGAATGTGCAACATTGCCTTGTGTCCATGGATCATGTAATAACCTTCCTGGAACCTTTCAGTGTATATGTGATAAAGGATGGACAGGACGTTATTGTGATCAAGGTACAGAAAATTCGCTTGGTCATAAATCATCTACAAGACAATTGTATGAAATGTATTAAAATTAATACCCTATTTCACAACATTTAACAGACCGTATTCTTATTATAATTACGGTACATTGTCCTACATTAAGTACTTTGATACTTTGTTTGATGTTTATGCAAGAGACTTGGCTTCTTTCACATATGAAACTTTCAAAAACTAATATTGTATTTGATTTTTTGATACTAGACGTAAATGAATGTCAGGTCAACCCCTGTCAGAATGGGGGAACATGTGTGGATAACGCAGGATCACATAGCTGTGTTTGTTTGACGGGTTGGACAGGACAAAACTGTACTCAAGGTAAAAATGGTTTTGATAAAAAATAGTGGTAGGATTTAAAAGCACTTAAACAAATATCCAAAAGATGATATTTGATTGATCATGGAGATTATAATAGACATCAGATGTTCCCTCAGGTGTAAATTGCCATTTTTACAAAATTTTTTACTTGCAATTTTAAATCGTAAGGGACAACAAGTAAGTCATTGTTGCAGCAGGTGTTGTAACATTTTGGATCACCAAAAACACAAAAAAAATTAAGCAACTTGTGCTTGATCTTCTCATAACTAGTCAAAGCCTGTAAAAACGGATTGTCAGTTTTGTTGATTCGGGGTACCATCAAGTCTTCATGAGTCTTTGACACAACGAACTACGCAAATTATGTTTAGTAATATCATTGACATTTCAGCATATATGTTGGTTGGGTTTGCAAAAGAAAATTATATACTACATGTACTAGCATTAAAAGAGAGATCAGGGTAATCCTAATTACATCATGGAGTGATCATTTGCAAATTCAGCCGTTTTGTGTCATTTGACACATGCCAGCAAATAACAACCGACTAAGATGTCGTGTTTCAGGTAGCATACGTAGCCTTCAGTTGGTAAAGGCTGTTGCAATCACGCGACTACGTGATCTGCTTTCATCACGAACAAGTGTTCTAAATATGCTGAACGGATGGAAGGATCTTGTCAGACCTGTCGCAAATCTCTTATGATTTTTTGGTTGAGAACGTAGGTGGAATATGATCTGTGACCTTGTCTGGACTGCTCATTATCCATGCAATCTGTCAAAATGCAACAAAAATGCTATCCCAGATTACAAATACGTAGTACCATGGTCGTAAAGATTCTAGGACTTTGGCCTCACCTGTGAAAATCTAAATTTTCTTAATTTCTAGAGTTTTTTAGTGTAACTAGTTTCTTCACAATGGCGATATTCTTCATAGCAACGTTAATATGAAAAATAGTCTATTGCATTCCATATTTTTTCCCTCTGGTTTTAGACGTCAATGAGTGTCTAGCCTCACCGTGCGTACATGGTTCCTGCAGTAACTTACCTGGATACTTCCTGTGTACCTGCGAAGCCGGGTGGACGGGAACTTTGTGTGATAGCGGTATTCTATATTTTCATAATATTCTTAATATTTCTCACAATACGGTAACCGAATATTTATGAAAAATCACATCGTAATTTTTTTCTTTAAATGGACAATTTTTTTCCTTAATATGTGATTCTTATTACTATCCACACAAAAAAGTAATATTTAAACATTGCCGATGTTTTACAATTTTGGCGTGTTCTTTCATATCTAAATTGATTTTTTTCAGATATCAATGAGTGTACGAATTCCCCCTGTGTCAATGGTGTTTGCAGAAATTCTGTGGGATCTTTTCAATGTCTTTGTAACACAGGCTGGACTGGTGCCCTGTGTGATCAAGGTAATTGACAAGCCTTATTGAAATTCACAAGCATTATAGTTTCATATGTTTTATTCAAATTATTAAATGTTTGATATTTTATTACTACAGGTACAGTGAATAGCTTAAAAGATTTCATATAATTTCTGGACAAGTAGTTCTATTGACTTTCGTAAAATTATTTTTCATTATATAGTTGCTATCATCAAAATTTCTTTAAGAAGAATTGTTTGATTCATTTTATGTATTCTTCTTCCTAGATATAAATGAATGTTTAAGTACTCCCTGTGCACATGGTACCTGTACTAATACACAAGGATCATTCCAATGCTCTTGTGAGCAAGGATGGACTGGATCTTTGTGTGACCAAGGTATTTCCAATTTCATTTTAATCATTCAAATTACACAGCTGCAACATTGAGATCTAATTTGAATTTTTTCACGGGGGAAATTATAGAGATAAAACTAGATTTTAAAAACTTTATTGTTGGATTGTAATTTTTCAATGTTATTACTTTGAATATAGAGTAATACTTGTTTAATCCGGACGCAACTGTTTCCGTAGAAATTTGCTGAATCAAATAATATTCCGGATTCAACAAATTTTAATAGAATTTAATGAATGGACTTAAAGTTTTCAACGTAATAGGAATAACTTTGGAAAACACAATATTGGGATTTGATAAGTGTTACCGTAGTAGTAGAGGGATCGGTAATTATAATGAAACAACATTTTAAAAACGTATCTTATTCATTGGTATACTTCTCTTTCCTAGATATAAATGAATGTTTAAGTACCCCCTGTGTACATGGTACCTGTACTAATACTCAAGGGTCGTTCCAATGCTCTTGTGAACAAGGCTGGACTGGATCTTTGTGCGATCAAGGTACACTTATTTATTTAATCTATTTTCAAATCTTTCAAAAACAATGTGACCTACCAAATTCTGTATTTAATTTTTAACAAGCTTTCACAATTTTGCCATACTTAATATTGACACAATGTTTATCTTCATCTTCTGCGAAGTTTTACCGGTACTTAGTAAATTGATGGAGAAAATTATGTTTAGTTCTGACTTGATATAGATATTTTTCTCTTCTTTTCAGATATAAATGAATGTTTAAACAATCCATGTGTTCATGGCACCTGTACAAATACACTTGGTTCATTTCGATGTTCTTGTGAACAAGGGTGGACTGGATCGTTGTGTAACCAAGGTTATACATTTAATATACTAGAAAAATTGCAAAAAAATGATAAAACAAAGTTAGAATTTATTTCTAAAGGGATCTGCCTTCAATTGTACTGCTCTCTTAAAATTTGGCAAAGATTATCTTTCTTCCATACAAAACATCTATACTCATTTTATTAATTGTCTTTAGTAAAGAAAAAGAGAGAAAGTAGATTAATTTAAAAGCAAGTTTATTCTGGCAAGTTTATATTTTATAATATTTGCATTTACTGCAGATATCGATGAATGTTTACAATCACCGTGTAAACATGGGCAATGCAGCAACACTCTAGGGTCATTTACATGTACTTGTGATGCAGGGTGGACAGGAATTTTATGTGACACGGGTAACAATTTAATTAAATATGTTGATAGAATTATTCAACCGTTTGTTGATTACATATTGTTGATTTTCTTTTTTTAAGATCCAAAAAATTAATGTGAAAATTGAAAATTGACTTTACATTATATTTTTCAAAGATATCAATGAGTGTCAATCAACACCTTGTAATAATGGTGTCTGCACTAACACTGAGGGATCCTTCCGGTGTACATGTAACCAAGGATGGCAAGGAACTCTCTGTGATCAAGGTATCCAATTAAAACAATCCCAAAACAGCTAAATACAGTCCCACTTGTGTTGAATTTGATAAAAGAAACTGTTAGTGCCAAACTTAATAGACGTTTTAAGATACATTCTTCATGTAAAATGTAAGATATCTATCAATTCTCAATGGTACCTCTTATATTTGTTTTAGATATTGATCACTGTTCCAATAACCCTTGCGTACATGGCACTTGTACCGACACTGGTTCTACATATAGATGTACTTGTGATCCTGGTTGGACAGGGCAGAACTGCGATCAAGGTTACTCAAATTGTTTTTTTAAACAACATTGCTACCGTAATGAAGTGTTCTTTTTCTAAATGATGCAACAATTATAGTCAATTAACATGAAAATATTTATGACACTTAAAATTTTGATCTCTCAATACACACTTGAGCAATAAGAATTTTTGTCGTATTTTTAGCTTTTGAAAAATAAATATTTCTGTTAGAGACGCATTTTAAACATTCTGGATATAGCTATAGGATACATTTGAGTTAGTGTGGATTTTTATTTCAGATATAAATGAATGTATTACATTAGCACCATGTGCTAACGGAGGAACGTGTACAAACGTCGATGGAACATTCTTATGCACGTGTCCAGCAGGTTGGACTGGAATAACTTGTAGGACAGGTACGGGAATCCAGATGTCCTCCTACATTCATCAGTTCATTGGTTCATTCAAGTTTATACTGTTTCTGGGTCTTGGAATTGATAATTATATATTCAATCTAGCTAGATAAGAGTAAAAAGATGCAAAAGCTGATTCAGTTTTTCTGTATTTCGATTTTCTTGGTAGAAACTGTAAAAATTCAAAGTTTTTAGTAAAGATTGATACAAAATAATTTTATAATAATATCATTGTATTGTCTTTGCCTTGCAGACGTTGATGAGTGCCTTAATTCTCCTTGTCTCCATGGCAACTGCTCCAATATTTTTGGTTCTTATTCCTGTTTGTGTGAGGCAGGATGGACAGGCACCAATTGTAGTCAAGGTTTGTACAAAGTGTTGAAAACCTCATCTATATAACAGTGTTATCTTCATCTAAGTTGATTCATATTTGATGCATGGGATTAGCTTTCACAATTTTATTGACGTGAAATTGAATCGTTTTTATTGGTAAGCATATTTTTTTAACTGACTTATCAAAACGTGACCTCAGATTTAGTGGCAGATATTGATATGCTTCATAAGTTTTGAAATAGATCATTCAGATATTAGGTCTTGACGTGTTTTAAGATTTAGTAATAATATCCTTTTATTCATCTGTACGCTTAGAACACTTTTACTATTGATTTAGATGTGGACGAATGTCTCCAGATACCATGTGTGAACAATGGCACTTGTGTTAATACTGCTGGATCTTTTTATTGTCAATGTCCGGTTGGACTGTCTGGGGACAAATGTGACTTAGTTGGTGGGTATATTACTGTATTTTATGCAATTATATGTTATTTTTATGATAAAGTAACGTTTACATTTATTTTTAACATTGGTGGATGTTATACTGTATTTTATGAAAATTTATTTTAGTTTTGTGATAAAAAAACGTTTAAATTTCTCTTTTAACATTCAATTCAGATATTACAGACATCACTTTGACATTTTATATCGTTAATTTCCCGTGGGTAGACGATCTGGCAGATAACTCATCAATAATTTTCCAAAGCTATGCTGGAAGGTTCTGTCGAGATGTAAGTAAAACAATGTAACAATAGCTTTAAGGTTCTGTCGAAAAGATATAAGAATATTTAAACAATATCAACAACTTTAATTCCACTTATAGGTAGACATCATATTCGCTTTCCGTGCTGCGGACTACCCTGGGTATCTGTATTGTAAGGTCGTGTCCTTTGGGTAAGCAAAAACCATCTACTTTACCTATGACCAATGTAAAAAGAAAACTTGATAAAATTCATTTTAATCAACAAATTACTATTCATATAAAATATAGATCTAGAAATAACAATTGCAGTGTTTGTTTGTATAGCATGCAAGTTGAATTTTGTCTATTTAATTTTAAGGAAAGACCCTCTGAACATATCGGTAGTGCTTACACTGGGAGGACATGACTACACCTCTGGGTTTGATGTACAGTTGAGAGATGCAATATTTGAAACGACTCGGGAATACAGATACCTAAACTATATTGTTCACTTAATAGGAGATATTCTCATTGTGTCAGGCAGAATAGCACACGGTAAAATTTCAAGGCATTATTAATACAGATTCTTGTTATTTTCATTATAAGATTATCTTAATATGCAATTTTCGTAAACATTTTTTTTTAAATCAGAGGCTTATGTTAACCAAATTATGGAGCATATATTTCCATATTTTACGATTTTTTTAACATCAAGAATTTGCGTTAAGATTAAATTCTGATGACCAGTTTGGGAAGAATTTATTTTTCCTTGACAATAAAAGAAGTAATTAACGTACATGAAAAATGTGGACTTTTAATTTCAATCAGGAAAATACATTGCACGTCACGTATGAATAGCTTGTTGAAAACAATTCTGCAAATATACTAAAATGTAATACTGACTTCACATTGATATTATTTAAGGCGTTTGAATAATATAGATGGTCACGAAATTCTGTTCTCATACTTTCTGTATTGATAATTCTGATTGAATACTGTTGAATGGAGTCTTAAGAACATTACCTCTGTCTTAATCTTATTGAACCCAAGGTCACACTTATTTCCCTAACAATACAATCATTTTAATCTCTTGGAGTTAGTATTAATAGTATTCCATATACATGACTTACAGTGCAAATGTTTGCACTCAATGTAATATTATTAATAGAAGATACCATGCTTTAGCTTTAAAATTTGATTATCATGATTTTTTGGTCATATCTATGGTGGCATATTTATGCCATCCAGATAAATTTTGTCAACATAAGATATCGCGTCAAGTCAAGATAACTATCACGTCAAGTCTAGATAACTTGCTGGAGTTGTCGAGATATCCCAACATCTATCTCCTCTAGTCAAGATAATCTATCACATTTTTTGCAATAGCTATCTCGACATGACGAGATAATTTATCTTGTATCATGACTAAAATTGTTGCGTTGACAAGTACTGCCTCTTCGTAATTGCTGTCACGATAACTGTATACTCGTATGTATATGTACATGTATTTATATAGATGACGTGTTACGGGTGTCTCAGTCGTTTTCCAGTGAAACTATACGGATCTCTTTTATTGAAATTATTCTTCAAATTCATCACTCTATTGAATTAATTCAATTTTTGTATTTGTCTATTGGAGGAATATAATTTTTAAGAGATAAAGATTTTTGAATATAAACCGTTCCATAAACTTTCTTCGGTAAATATGAAACAAAACAACCCATTTACTTAATTCACAATTTCCATTTTTGGTCCTTTCTTTGTTTCTGGCATGGCATAAGTAAAACAATTAATGCAAAGAGTCAATCATTTATTAAAAACTACCGACAATAATATTATAGCCAAGTATCGATCTCTGATAAACAAAAAAAATCGTTTATTTAATTGAATAGCACATTTATTGAATTAATAATTGCAAATATTAATAGTAATTAAGTAAAAAGCTCATTGGTTTGGTTCACACGTACTTGTATTTCATTTTACTGAAAACAAAGTACACGGTTTGCTAATTGGTTCAAACTGAATTCCTTTGAAATTATGCGTGCAATACTTATTAGAGAAACAATTTGATAGAAGATGTCCGCCTATTTCATTGGAAAATGACCGAGGCACACATTACATTTAATCTATTTATATACTAGTATATGTACATATACATATACAGTTATCGTGACTGCAATTATGAAGAGGCAGTACTTGTCAACGCAACAATTTTAGTCATGATACATGATAAATTATCTCGTTATGTCGAGATACCTTTCACAACAAAATGTGATAGATTATCTTGACTAGATGAGATAGAAGTTGGTGTATCTCGATAAAACCAGCAACTTATCTTGATTTGACGAGATAGCTATCATGACTTGAGGAGATATCTTATGTTGACATAAAAATATGTGGATGGCATAAATATGCCACCATACATATCAATTGTACTAATCTGTATAAGTTTTATCCTATAATATTTCGAGTTATTTAATTAATTTTAAGAATTTATTACTTTTCAGATATAAAAACATGACTATTTGCAAAACTTTTCATATCAAATGCATGAATTTCAATCTTTTATAAATTATTTATATCACAGTCATGACTAATACTGTATACACATTAACGATTTCTTTTTGAAAACTGGTTACTAATGCTTTTGCTTTAATTTTATACAGATTCTTGGCTCACGAATATGACGATGTATATATATGATGACTTCCAATACAAACCCGAGTACTCGAATAGTAATTCTACTGAGTTTAAAAATTTTGAAAGCTCGTTCTGCAATGATGTAAGTATGTCTTGCAGTCGATATTAATGATTTTCAGAAAGTTAATTGGATCTGAAATTTACCTTAAAGCGCATCGTAAATAAAAGTTGACATGATTTACCATAAAATGTATGTCTCATTTTGATAGTATATTGCTTTAATGATTCGTTTTGAGACCTTTGCTACATTATTAACCAGAAAGATATTCTACTTCTAAAATTCATTTTTGAATAATCAATTATTGCATAAATTATCTACTTTAATGATTATTTGCAGATTGACTCTTTCTTTCAAAATAGTAATTTGACGTCTCGATATTATCGCTGTTTCTTTGATCATATTGGGTAAGTTTTTCCATATATAGATTTAAAAAAAAATAATGGGATTTAAGTCTGCTAATACACTTGCTTTCTGGAAGTATATTTGCATATTTCACCAAAGTATGTCCAGTCACTTAAAAGAAAATGTGTTTGGGTTTGTTTCTTTCTTTTTTTTCATGATCTTTGTAGATAACTTTTTATACATATTATATTTTATGTATTATTTTTTAAGTCATCAAAAATATAAAAGTATAATTTTGAAAACAAGATTTCCGTAAGCTGATAATATTTTGATGCTGTAGGTCCGTTGCACCACACACCCTGACCTTCATTATGGTGTTCAATGGAACCGACACAGTGTCACGTGACATGACAACTAACGTGATCAGTGTTGGAGCTCCACATTACAACGTTGAGAATTTGGATCTGATGTTCATTGGTTCTCAATTTGTCTATCTGCATCGTGGATACAACAACATCGCTATTAACATAACAGATTTTACAACTACCTCTGCTCCCATTACAACGGAAAGTCCGTGTGAGTAATCTTTGTTCTTCCGTTAAAGAGAATGGTAAAAATGGTTTTAAAAAATGGTAAAAAAAAATCTTTTCTGTTGTTTGGGAGAAACAGCCGTCCTTAATTATTCGAGTGTATTCGAGTCTATAAAGGCAGAACTGGTAAAAAAATTTCTTAATATGATTTCCTTTCTATTCATTCCATTGCAGTGAAAACATTGATAAACATCACGTTTGTCTTAAAAAATCTGACATACACACAGCAGTTAGCAAACTCGGAATCCCAAGAATTCAAGGCTTTGGCATACCCCTTCTGTCAATATGTGAGTAGAATTCTGCTTTGCATCGCTTGCTTCGAGTTTTAAATAGCTGTATTGGGAGATATTTGTACTTTCTGCTTCATATCATAACGATCTTTCTGGTTTTGCAGTTAACAGACCTATACTCTACTCGAGACCGATTTAGGAATATTTATGAACTGTGTCAAGTAATGGCTTTTATGTAAGTACTGGATATTTTACAAGTAACAAATGCAACCGAAAAACCTCTTGTGGTACTACTCATGCATATTTTACCTTTTTTACAGCCAAGAAAATGGACGAGATAAGATAAATTTTATCCTGCAGTTTAAGGGTGCACAAGATCCTACTCTTCAGGAATTTATATACGGAATTCTCATAGAGAATGCTCCTAGAGCAATAGTTAATGGAGAGATATCAATAATTGTTGGTCCACTGGCAGTGTTTGACGACTCCCTGGCCATTAATCAGGCCACGGTTACTTACTCACTGCCACCAGGTATGTATTAACAATAGGCAAGAAATAATTAACTGTCTATAGATGATTAAAATTTGTCAAATATGATTGGATTATAACAATACACATTGTCAAGTTTTTTTTAGGAAAACCGTTTTTTTAATTTTAAAATTAAAAATATATTATCTATGGTACAGTGTAAAAGTGGAGATTCATTTTGCAGTAATGTTGGATTTGCAAAAATCTTTGCATGTTGGGTTTGCAATTAAAGATATACTTTTGAGTATAAGAAACATAGTATTTGATTTCTCAATCAACACGAATATACATTTTTTTGAATTGTGAAATGCTCACTGTGTGCTGAATTTCGTTTACTTAGAGTATTTCTTCAAACTGTAGATATAACGGTCACATCTCTTTTGTTTGGTCCTCATACTGAAACAAAGGAATTTTTTTACCAATTCATATAAAAATAAATGACAGAGTGCCAATTCATTTCACTATAGCTAGCACACAGAAACAAATATATTGATGGTCGAAACGCCAAGGTTACAATCAGACTATCAGTTAATACTAAAACTATAAACTTTCTACTGATCTTTAAAGATTATTTCTATTTATCATTACGGGTTTTATTATTATTATTATATTATCTATCAACGACGCAGTGTATTGTATGCCATGCAATATTGATTGAACGAAGTTCACAATTAACTTTTTTGAAACAAAAATAAACTTTGGATTCTTGCTTATTTACCTCATTAAACATTAACAATCTAGAACTATATTTAAAGTAAATTACGATACAGCCAGATCTTAAAATGATAACTGGCTACCTGGCGTAAAGTTAAGATAATGATATATCCCTGTTTTTCCCCAGACCTTACAACGCCCAGTTCTCTCCTGACCGCTGCACCGCTAGTGACAGATCCGTGCAAAGACGCTCCAAACAGCGCTAACCTCCCCGTTCCCGAAAACTGTCACAAGTTTTATAAATGCTCCTTTGGAATCTCTTACCTCTTTGAATGTCCAGGAAACACCGTATTTTTCCCGGACAGAAACCAGTGTGATAACAACGACGGTACCATAAAATGTTAACCGTAAAAGAGAAGAGTTATATTGTTTGAGAAATCCAGATTCATGGACTCATTTTTGTATATTTATTTAACCTTTCATGTTTATTTCATTGCATCATGATTTTTTGTCATAATATAGAATTGAATCAAATATGTTGTTATTATTTCAGTTTATCTCAAATGTGCTTTTCAGATATTGTTATCAGTGATATATTAAATATTTGCACTACATAAGTGCGGTTTGTGTTGGACTCAAGTCTTATATATATATATATATATATATATATATATATATATATATATATATATATATATATATATATATATATATATAAGTCTTTTCATGTTCACTTTTCTTATTTTTTTACATATTGAAACCAAATAAAGAAGGATATATTAAACATGACTTTTGTGTTTTTTATTAATTTTGCTATAAATTTGGTCTCGATTTATGGTTTAAACTATATAATGACGACAGCTCCATAATTTTACTGTATAAAGTATCATGCAAATGACATTTATATTTCTAATAATCTCATAATTGGAATTTTACTTCCATGTGTTATGATTAAATTATCTAGGTTTTTTTGTTTTGTTTTTGATAACACGCGAAGAAATGTTTTCTTATATTACCATTCATTTTTCAAAACCGATGTTAAGAAACTGCAGAGAGAGTACAGTTGACCTAAGGTCATATGTACTCGCTAAGTAACTTCTTATATTTTTCATTTTTAAACACATCGTAAATGTCAATTTTCTATTACAGGCGCTTCATAAAAATATTCAACGCTGCATGGTCTTTCCTTATGCAAATAAATCTAAAATAGCATGAGTTTAGCACTTCTAATTGTTTTCCTTGCAACTCCTGGTTTGTTGTTCCCTATTCAATTATTTACTGCCTACCTATAGCCTGTAGTTTCTAAGCTTTACTACTTTGTAATCTATTTGCGTATAATAAATGACAAACTTCAGATCACTTTCTATTATTTTTATCTGTCAAAAGTCACTGTAAAATAAACATGATATGTCAGTATTAGAAGTATTGCAGATGAACACCCATCACATGCTTACTGTGTGAAGATTTATAAATACGTACACCAGATGAACCATTAATATAATAGCTGCATTCTATAAGTTTGATGGAGATTTACTGGTTTTTCTGTGGTTTCTATGCTTACCTGTATTGTGAACTATTTGTGTATCAAAAAATGAAAAATCGCAGGACATAAATGATTCTTTTTGTTTGGGATCATTTTAAAGAAGTTAATATATCAGTATTAAGATTTGAGACTTGAAATTATCCTATGATGAATTCCATTTAGCATTAGTTATTACTCCTTTGTTGTTATTACAAGAAACTTTTTAATCTGCTGTTTGCAGAAACTTTTTTTTTGCTTAAGCAATATCATACTATAGTTCTTTTAGGCACAAATCAAAAATAAAATTGTAAACGGTTTCTTCTTTGATTGTTCTCTTTAACTGAAACTTTAGTAATGAAAATTTTTCTTAGTAAATATCTTATATAGCTGACGAAAATAGAAGAAAGTTAATCACCGAAAAGCATTGGTGGATATATTTAAAACACCGGTAACATTTGCATATTGCGAATACTAATGTAAATGATTTTTTTCCCATGGACAATCTACATCAAAGCAATGACAATTATTATTTTTTATGGTAATAAAAATGTAAATCAATAGAATTTACCGAGAGCATGCCTGTGATTGGGTCGTAAAAATAATGATTATGATAATATAAACATATAAGGCTCCTGTACACTCTAAGAACCCATACTGTCATGGAGTTGCTATAAGTGTTTGATTTTTTTTTCGTTTTATATTCTCTCATGTTCACAAGAAAAAAATGTCTGTAAATAAATTCAAAGCAAATATACTTGCTCATTTTCCACTAAGTTTCAACATTATGGTTTTAGATTTTAAACCTTTTCATTTTTTAAAGTTTGGATTTTGGTTTGAAAGTAAGGTTGTTAAATATGCAATCAGACTGCTCATTGACAGTCCTAAGGATGGATTAATGACACTCCGACGTAAATCAAGTCTGTCGATGTCTTGATCAGAACTCAGTGTGTAAACTATTAACCATCCAAGAAATAAAGTAGGTATATAGAACTCACTGTATCTCTGATATTTTCATTTTTTGCAAATGTAAAATTAGTTAAATATTTAAGCATTTCATTATTGCAGTCTTGTGAAGTCAATTGATTATGTACAAAAAAAGCCAGAGTTCATTGTTTTTATACCGGCTGCTGCTGAAAAACATCTCTCCTTTATAGTGTGTTTGTGTTAAAATATTTTACCATTCCATCATGTTTTTGTCAATAATGCTGCAAATAAAAAATTAATTTTGTTATCATCTGATATTTTTTGAAAAAAAAATATCCAAAAAAAATTCTGTCTCTTTTCCCTTGGATCTGAATGTATAAAAAACAGCATGCCAGCGTGGCATAGAATTGACTACATTGCAAAATAAAATTTCTAAAGGACTTTTGAAAGTATTATTTCATAGTTAAAAGTATTGAATCTTCCTTAATGCAGTGCAAAATGAAAAGTAATAATAAGAAATTTATTCATCTTTTTCTGAAACTCCTTGATTGCATTGGGTATTATTTTTCCTTTGAGACTTAAGCTTTGAAGTCATTTTTATGTGTCATTCAGTAGAAATATTACGAGCATGAAAACGTATACTATAAAAAATATTAAGATATAACATATTGCAACTTGAGGTGGGTAATTTAAAATTGTATATTGTGCATCCAATCTATTGTCAGTACCTGATTTTAAAGACAGACTTCACATAGAATTAACTACGTTCTAAAAATGTCTTAAAGGATTCGGAACAAGTACACATATAACAAAAATGATAATTATATTGAACCAGACCTCGTTGGTTTTGTCAAAAAATTTATTATTCCAATATAGGAATATGGTAAACAACATAAATCAGGGGTACATTTCAAATGATAAATATATACCACTGTTTGATAAATAGTCACAGATAACAACAAAAAAAAATGTGATTAATAATATAATAATAATATCCCTTTGGGGAAAATGATTTGTCACGTGGCCTCATCCTTGCAGGAGTTACTGTCCGTAGGATACATACAGCTATTGACAGACGGAACCCATATTAGTCCAGGCGAACACGTCTGAATTTTCTCCTGACCGGACTCACACTGAATATATAAAGTACAATTGAACGGGTGAGCAAAGTATCCATTGCTTTTCTGTAAGCAAGGGAGAATATCCGGACAGATTAAATCGTTCTTTGGGTATATACACGTTTGAGCGTCTGGATCGTAGACCAGGTTCATGGCACATGTCAGTTCTTGGCCTCGATTAAGGCTGATACATTGTATAAACTTTTTACAGTCATCGGGGTGAGGGTGAAGTGTTCCAGCTTTTGCTTTTAAACAGGGTTCTCGTTCATACTCTACCAAAAAAAAACATATATATCAGCTGACACAGAATAATAATGCTTTTTTATATTCGTACTTACACTTCTTTCATGTGGTTTGTGATGATGTCAGAGTTTGTGTGAAGAATCTTGGTTTAAATTCATAGAGTCATCTCTCTCTCTCGTAAACTGTTCAATAAGAGATACCATTTGTTTATACAAATTTTTAACCTTTATTGCCTTTTTTATGGGACCCCCCTTAAAGTTGATATGTTAATATTCTTTCTATGTACATAAATTCATGTAATAAATACCTTTGATTTTATCTATGAGATTTACTTGTTCAGAAAGACATACTTGCAGATTAAACTATGGATTGAAGACAATATACATATTGATGAAACAGTTTATCAGAAGTATTAGTGATAATAAATTCTTACATGATTACATTACAACTAAAGAGTTTATGTTTTTCGTATAAAAAAGCAAAAAAGCTAAGATTTGACAAATATATTTTTCCACAGTGTTAATATACATGTATATAGAAACATAAGAAATACAAAGAGATAAATAGAGCTACCTTATTTTAAGAGTAATGAATACATACTGGGTCTTCCAGGGTAGACTGATCTAGTTTGGTTGCTGGTGAATACAGTGTCTGTAGTGGTGGTAGGGGACGGGGGAGTCGTCGCCTGGGTAGTGGTAGTCTTACGACTGGCAGGTTTGTAACCTGGGGGTTTAGGAGGAGCTTTGGCAGGGTCCGGACACACCATTCCTGGTCTGTCATGGACACAGTTGTTTGATGAAGCGTCAAACACCAGCTCTCCGGTACATGTTTGTAGTATTGACTTTTTGTGTTCACATTGGAAATACTTATTGCAGTCAGTTGGATGTCCATAAAAGCTTCCGTCTTGAAGTGAACAGGGATCCCAGGCCAGTACTGATAAAGCAACAAAATACTGAATGCGCACTAAATAGACTTTATGTGTAAATATTTTCATAGCATGCTTAGGTTCTAAATTCTCATTCTTGATTACATTTTTATACATGTACTTATCAAAAGTAAACATGCACGTGTATGTGCATTGCTATTCTTTCACAATATAATAATTCTTTCATTTTAAAGTCTTTAATCAAAAGTTTTTTTTAATTCAAGCACAAAAAAAAAATCAAACACTTGATCTTTACTAAAAGTGAAGAGTCTCTAGATGAGACATTTCTTTTGATACTTACACATTTCCCTAGTGGCTTTCACAGACACAGTACTTTCAGTACTTTGATTTACAGATGAAGTCGTTGCTAATTTCTTAGTGGTGGAAGATGCAGTTATGTTGGTCACGCTTTCTGTTGTTGACGTTGTATTCGTTAATGGTGGCTGAGTAGTTGTGGGTTTTGTAGAGTGCACAGTGCTTGTGGAAGGTTTAAAAGTGGTAGGTTTTGGGGTTGTGGGTTTTTCTTGTATTTTATTAAAACCTACCGGTGTTCTTTCTCGTTCAATTTTAATTTTAACTTCATCTAATTCTATTTCAAATCTATCCACCAATGCTATGTTTGATGATGTTGCATTGACTTTTGGGGCCGATGTCTCTATCACAGATATAATATCCCTTTTGGATGCGTCTTTCTCCACAAAGAATAAGGTGAAATTTATGTGTTTATCTCTAAAAGAGAAAAAAAAGGTTATGCCAAA